ATTCAATGGAGCGTGCAGCCCCGATCCGGAGACTTTCTGTGTTTCCCATATTGTGTTGGGTTTCCACGTAGGTGTGCAGGTTTGCCAGTCGCATTCGCCACGGATTGTGGGTGGCTGAGCTAATGTGGCGGCGATCTGGCATCGGGCTGAGATGGAAAACGAAACCGAGTTACAGGGAAATAAGTCATCAGGAAAGGGGGTACTTCCTGCTATAAACCAAGCAATAAGGTCGCTAGTAATTACATTTGTTAATTTATAAAAATTACAGAGCTACCATGTGAATATGAAAATTCAAAAAACAATATCGAATCGAACCTTTAAAACTAGATCGCTCCAGCTTCATGGCATAGGCTTTAGGTTACCATTCCTGCTCTATCCTATTTCACTCCGATCATTCAGTACAATCCAAACCCAAGAGAGCCTGTGCCTTTTCATTACGGACTCCATTGTCTGGGCGCGCGGTCAGTTTTGGATTGTTGTTAAGTAAGTGTACTTAACCCACATGACTTGCGGTTTTCGCCTTTCTCGGTCTGGGCCAAAACTCGGTTTCTCGGTTTCTGGCCGCTGCTGTCATCACTCCGAAAGCCAAAAAGCCAAAAAGCTGTCATTGCCTGCGATCTTGTGGCCACAGTGCGTATACGTATACGTAAAGAGATTTCTTAACCTTGAGTGACTTTGAGCGTTTCTCAACCATCCATTTCTGTTTATTTATTTTTCCCCCTTTGGCTTTGCGTTTATTAACCAATTTTTTTTCGCTGATTGTGTTTTGGGTTTATTAAATTACGACCTGCACGTGTGCGTGCTTGCGTACTTGAATCTACGCTCATTTCCTTAATTAAACACTTGTTTCACGGTCCGTTGGCCAATATCGCCAGGCGAATATGCCGATTCGAAAGATATTTGTAAAATAAAAACGGCAGGGATTAGCAAAAAATAAAGTTGATGGAGCTCATTTGCAGAAATAATGATCAAACAGCAAAAAGTGATTATAACCGAGAGATTATGTAAAAACGATCAGCGGCAATTTATTATGGCCAGCAACAGCTTATCAAGTTCACTTCAAAGTTGCTTCATCATCTATATTTTTAAAGAGCTCTTTTTTGCGAAAATTAAATTACTGAAATTGATTGATTGCAAATTACTATTTTATTTTTTTATTTAATTAATTTTTATACATTTTTTAAAGGCACATTATTTTTTTATAATTTCATATTACAAATAGGAATCCACTTTGGCTTTTCCGCTACCAGATTTAGTTCTGCACTTGCGTGTGGCTTTCAGTTTAACCCTTCGAGATGTTTTCCATTTACTTGGCTGCTATCTCGCAGTTGCCATCTATAACAAATAAATTCATGGCCAGACCCATTAAATACTTATTATGCTTTTTGTGTGCCACTCGGGTTTTATTGTCCATTGTCGAGTTGCGATCTGGTTTGAAGTTCCCAGCCAGTCAGCCTGTCAGCCACCCACTAAGTTGTGGGAAAGTAATTTTCATAATTTTGCACTCCAACACCTTCGGCTGTTCCTCCTGTTCGGAAGAGAATCAGAAGCCACTATAATATGGTGAGATGCCCCCGGGGAGAAGTGGGTCTCGGCTCGTTATGAACTCGGATTTACATGGAGAGCGAGAGCTGCGAGTCGGAACCCCGTATTAAAGTGCCACTAATTACGGCAATTTGTTATTGGCCAAACCGAACCGAACTGAGGCCAACGCCTATGCCATTTCTAAGCCATCAACAAAGGCAGCCATTAGCCAGATCAAAAGTTTATTAGCGAAGGGAACATATGTAGGATTATACTCGTATATAGTATATCTGTCGGGCGGGGGGCGTTAACCCTCACGCAAAAATTGAAATTATAAAAGCTAAAATAAAAGAGTAAATACTCCGCGTTGAGTGCGTGGAATACACAAATCGCCGAAGGCCAGACACGCTCTTCAGCACGCATATTGAAATGTGTAGGTACCATACATTTTATTTATTTTTATATTACGTATATTTACTGCTGACCACTTCAGCTGGAGGTTCAGGTACCAACCAGGTGATGATTTGCTATTTGCTGGCCAGGGGATCCGCTGCCAAGGGTTAAGGAGGGAAGTTGGTAAAGGTTAAGTCGCAGTATGTGTACATGTGCTACAAATTGAAGGCTTTTTACCCAGGGGAGTACCCTGGCCCAAGGGGTCTGTTTGCTGTTTGCTGGGTGGCTAATTAGCCGATTAAAGATCTAGTCTTTGTAGTTCATGTGTCAGTGATAATTATAACAAGGATTTAATTAGCGAACATCCCATGGGTTTGATTGTTTCTTTTTCGGACTAAGAGAAACAGTTGATCCCCGATTTTAATTACCATATTTGTAGATTACTAATAATTGCCTCGGGCCTTTCAGCTCTAATTATTTAATTCTTTTTCAGCAGAGAGAGTATCTCAAGTTCTTCTGGCGAAGTTCACTCCTTCATTATTTTATTTGCTGGCCGCGAAGCTTTTCATTTGCTGCTTCCCCTCGGTTTCCCATGGCCCCAGCCAAAAAAAGGGAGAAACTGGGAACTGGGGGGCAGTTGGGGGTTAAGTATTGGCATTTCCGACCGGGCGACCGAGACTCGTCTTCATTGAAATCGAGCTGGGACTGAGACTCGGACTGCGACTGGGGAGACTGGATCCCAGTTTCAACTTGCACACGGCATGGCAATCAAAGCCTGTAAATCTACACCAAAAGCAACAATAGCCGGCCAAACAACAACAACAATAACAACAACGAGAGCAATATTTGTGCTCATTAAGCGTAACTGACACACGAAGTTTTTTGTTATACGAATTTGTTGTTTTTTTTTTTTTTGGAGGGTTTCTTCATTTCGCAAGTCGCCAAAAACTACGCCAACGGGACTGAGTTTTTTTCCGGTAGAGGCTGTGACTCAAGATTCCCGCCCCCAGTCTCCGTTCTTCCCTCTTGGGTCTTCGGAGAGAAGAGCTGCTGATTTTGGGTGCTATTGCATTGTTTCTTGTACCCTCAAAGGGAGTATGGGCTATAAAATCAGAACTGAACTTCAGAAAAATACAGAAAATGTATTAATTATTTTAAAATCAATTTCTTTATATTTTAAAGAAGGTAATCTCTTTTCTTTACTTTAATTGTCCTATGATAAGGTCTCTTTTCCTCACTTTAATAGTCCTATGTTAAGGTTGCATCTTAAAACCTACAACAAAGGGTATTTCGATAGCAGTCTTCGTCATGTTTTATTTTCCCCTTTTTCGCTTTGCATTTTCGTTTTGCTTTTGGCCAATTGCAGGCCCCCCAAACGGGCAGGGAGCGATTGCTATTATTTTGAGGTAATTCGATGATTTACAACTGTTGCCGTGTTTTGTAAGTTTTCTTTTCAGAATGCCACAGATCCCGATCCCACTGCCTGTCCGACGGATCTTTGTACTCGGTGTACTCGTATATATAGTATAGTATATATATATGTGTGTGTGTGTGTGTGTTGCAGACCCCGCGTCTTTGGGTGCAACAATGAAGGGCCAAACCTCGACCAGGCCCTCGCCACATTCTTTTGTTATTTTCGCAATTTTTTCCCCAGTCCCTTATTGTTTTCTTATTTTTGTTTGCTGGCTGGTTTCTGCTGTAATTCCGGCCAGCCCAAAGATCTGAATGAGTTTGGTGCATTGCGTTGGGGGAAGTGGTCGTATTTTGTGAATTCCTTCGCGGGCATCTTACATTTCACACCTGCTTCATTTTTCTCCCCCTTACGTGGTGTTTACGTACTCAAAAGGGGAGTCCTTGGACATTTGGTTGGCAAGTTGACAGGGTAAATAGTTCAAAAGGGAAAAACCCCTCAATTCTACGGCATCTGTCAGCTGTAACTGATGTGCAGATGTTAGCTCTGCTTAATTTAAATAAAACATAATTATAATAAACTTAGCCCATCTGGTTTATTATACTGTCAAGGGCACAGAACTAAATTGATTAAGTTTTATTGCTCAGAATAGCCTCCAAGTAAATATAGGGTTTTATCATTTAAATATTTACTGGCATTTGGTAAAAAAATGAACTTACCTACTTGAGTGCTGTACTCATCTAAAAAATAATAATAGATTATCTTAAAATGTATGTAAGTACAACTACATTTGCGTACACTTCGGCAAATTGTTCTGATGCAACAGAAATCTAGTCATTATAGGAAATTACCCCTCCAAATTACCACAATCATGTCAGGCTGCGACCTCTGTAACATTTCAATTTTCCTGCCCCAGAGAGCTGCCGTCCATCAAAGCATGAACAATTTCACTTTCCAGATGCGAATGTGGCGATATGCGATTCAGTGCATCGGGTTGGCTTTCGGTTTCCAAACCAGAAGCGGAAGCCTCCGTTTAGTCGACGCACATCTGGTGATTAGACGCTTCAGCGCCAACCCATAACCCATCCAATCCCAGCCAGAAAGTGGAGACCGACGACATATTCCCTTCGCCACACAGAGAGAAATGTGGCTACGTTTTCAGAGATTAGCAAACCATTTATGTATGCAAAGCAACTCCAATTAGGTTTCTAGATCTTTTGCTACATGAATGAATATCAATTATTTGGGATACAATTTAATTGTGAATTTTTGCCAACTGGCGATAGTTTTCTCCCAGTGCTGGTGACATTTCGGCGACGCTTCGCTGCATTTTGCGGAGCACTCCGCGAAGAGGACGTGTGTGCCCGCCTCGCTGGCGATGTGTCTTGTGTCCCGTGCCGTGCCGTGTGGCATATACCATGTAGCATACACCGTATACCATGTGGCATGTCATGGCTCCAGTGGTGCGATAAATGCTCATTTCACTTTCTATCAGCGTCGCGCGGCAGTCTAATGGAGGTTTAATTATGCTGCGCTGGCGGCGTGCCCTCGACTGTCGCATAAATTACACCGAGCAATGCCTTGATTTATTGTCTGCCTATGCCAATGGCTTTTTTTCCACTTAAGATTTTCGCTAATGCCTTGCCCGTTTTTTATGTGTGTTATCTTGCAGTGACTTGACAATATGACTCCGAGGTCGTAGACTCCGGGAAATCAAGGAGAGGGACGGCAGAGCGACAGAGACCGAAACCGAAACGACACAAGGCGAACAAGGAACCAACACGAAAATGTCCGGCAATCAACAACAGCAGCAGCAGCAACTACAACAACAGCAACAGCAACTACAACAACAACAACAGCAGAAGTCATTAACTAACAACGCGGCAGCCACACAAAGCACAAACGGAGCAACCACTTTGGGCCATAATTTGATAAAAATAAATAGCGTTGACAAAATAATAGGCAAAGCCCAGGCAGCGACGCAGGCAATTAACAAACTACAGCAGCAGCAGCAACAGCAGCAACAACAACAGCAACAGATCCACCAGCGACGCTCTTTGTTGCCAGCAACAGGAGGAGCAGCGGCAGCAGCAACAACAGCAGCAACAGCAACGCCGAATCCCCACCAGCAACACTCAGCGCAGCAACAAAGCGGAACGCCAGCGGCTCAGTCGCCAGCCCAAAAACAGCAGCAGCAGCAATCACATCAATTGCAGACGGTGGCCACGATACACCAGCCGCACTCCACGCAGCAGCAGGCCCTGACTTCCCGCCTGCCCATCCAGCAGCAGACCGCCAAGGAGTTGCCCAACCTAGCTGCCCAGCAGCCGGCGCAGCAGCGTCGCAGCTTCCACTACCAGTTGCAACACCATCAGCAGCAGCAGCAACAGCAACAGCAACAGCAGCAGCAATCTCTGCGCAGCCCGCAGCTAAAGGCCCCGGCCCCCGCCCACTCCATCCCGCCGAGGTACCAGCCCCCGCCGCAGCCCACCAACGGGATCCTCAAGCCGCACCTGCCGCTCAAGTATCCGCCGGATATCCCGCAGCTATCGAGCATCTACATTCCCGACTCCATCAAGCAGCAGCAGCAGCAGCAGCAGCAACAGCAGTCGCGCTATCTGCAACACCCGCCGGCAGCGAAGGATATGCTGAAGTTTGTGCGCAAGCCGGACCAGGATCACCCATCGCCCAATGCCTCGGTCACGTCCAGCGGCACTGGGATCCCCACGGCCAACGGAGGAGGAGGTCGCCTCACGGCCGAGCAGAACCGCCAGCTGCAGTCGCTGGTCAACGAGCTGCGCGCCCTGAAGGAGCAGAACCAGCGGCTGCTGGACGACAACCAGGAGCTGAGGGACCTCTGCTGCTTCCTGGACGACGACCGGCAGAAGGGTCGCAAGCTGGCCAGGGAGTGGCAGAGGTTCGGACGCTACACGGCCAGCGTGATGCGCCAGGAGGTGGCCGCCTATCAGGTGGGTTTATCTTTTAGGACATAGTGAATGCCTTACTTACTCCTTGATTCCTTTAGAACAAACTACGTCAGCTGGATGACAAGCAGCAGGAGCTAATCACCGACAACCTGGAGCTGAAGGAGCTCTGCCTCTACTTGGACGAGGAGCGCGCCCATGTGGCGGCCAACGCGCTGTGCGCCGGATGTGGAGCCGCCACCAGGAATGCCCTGCGAGATGATGGCGATGGCTCCAGTTCCAGCACGAATGCGGATGAGACCATCACCGCGCTGAGGAACTACGCGGAGCAGCGGCAGCTACCGCAGGTGGGTACCCAAAAGCAAGCAATACCAATACCCAATATAAAGGGATCTATAAATCTCTGCCAGATTATAAAAACAGGATCCCCTGTAACTGAATCTTTGCTAAACCTCATTTACTTATTCTAGGATCTACGTCATGCCCACACGCTGAACGACCAGACGCTTCAGTATGTGCGATCCCTGGAGCGGCGCATCCAGCAGTTGGAGGAGGAGCGGACCACGCCCACTGCCCACCTGCAGCAGCCGACGACGCCCACGCCCACGCCAACGCCCACATCAGCCGCCGCACCAGCCAAATCAGCTCCTTCGCCCCACCAGCAACTCCAGCAGCAGCAGCAGCAACACCAGCAGCTGCAGCAGCAACATCAGCAGCAGCAGCAGCAGCAGCAAACGCAGCAGCAACAGAAGGACATCGTGGCAGCTGCAGCGGCAGCGGCGGCGGCTATCCAACTGCCGGAACCGATCGCCGGACGCCCGGAGGCGGTGGTCCGTGCGCTCCAGGTGCTCGAGGTGCGGGAGCAGCTGGAGCGGGACCGGCTGGGCAACCTGGCCGGGAGCGCCCTCGACCAGATGGACGACGGAGAGAAGGCGCTGGTGCGCGAGATGTGCAACGTGGTGTGGCGCAAGCTGGAGGGCAGTCCCCACGGACCGGCCGCCCTGGAGCCGCTTTAAGCCGACGGAGATCCAGTTGGAGATCCACATAAACCTAAACCGGGCTAACACACCTAGACTCTAATGTTTAATGCTAACTTATGCCGTAATATTTAACCCTAAACATTGTACAAAGTTCAAACCACAACCTAAGCATAAGCAACCGCTCCGAAGGCGAAAGAATACTCAAAAAATACCTGGGATGCTCCAGCAACTGATTTGGGGCAGAGAGTACTCCTAATGAATTGTCAACTCAATTTTTTTTATTGCCAGACCCAGCTCCAAAATCGAGCTTTAACTGGTTTAAAGCTGGAACACTTGGATGCGAACCGATGACTCCACAAAATCGAATAATCAACGCAGCTGTTGTTTATTTCCGATTGGGACCAACATTCCTGGGATCACTCTTTTTAATTAGTTCGTAACTCCGCCGATCAGTTGATGGAGTAGGCTCACAATTATTTTTTACTTATTATAAACTTTGACTGTTATTTTTGAATGCCAAGAAGAAAAGTACTTTCACGAAAAATTTGCTAACTCGAAATACAATGCAACTCAAATATTTCCATACTCACGGATGGGTTTTTGTTTTCAAAGCGACTTAATTGGGGGGCCAGTAGAACGCTGATTCACTGCCACACCTGTTGGCCAAAATGCCTTGATTCTGTGTATAGGCCTATATGTCTTGATTCTGTAATAGATGTAAGCGCATTACCCGCTTTCTACGCTTTGCTGGACCTTACATGATCGCATTCTGGCCAACATGTGTAGTTGTGTACTTCTTGCGAGACAAACGTAAATTACCAGAGTGCTGTTTAACCTGATTTTTCTTGGCCAATTTGGCCGTATCGCTATTGCATTCATTGAGAAAGATCACCGCTTGCTGCTGGCGGGACAGGATGATGCGGCAAGAAACGGCACGAAATGCAGTGCAGGCCAACCCACTTTTGGCCGTTCTTGTTTTGCCGCTTTTGCGCTCTTTGGCTAATTCATGCATTATACGTATATTATAGCCATGGCTTCGGTCTCGCCTCGCGGACTTGCGGACTGGCGGACTCGAGGCGCGAACATGTGAGTTTAAGCCCTGTTGTCATTAAATATGCAACCTTTCTTTGTTTTGCTCCCATTGTTTTCCCTTTACCGCTGGTGCGGATTGGCCTAAACGGATAAGAATCAGTTGAAAGGCGTGTGAAAAGAGTTAAGGCCGCAAAGGAGCCACGATACGTATATGTGGTGGAAAACCTGTTGTTCTTGGGCTATAGTATGATTATATGATTTTATTTTTAAATTTCGAATAGTGGTTTTTCACCCATGAGTTCTTGCCCCATCAATCGTTGAGCAGGTGGGATGTGTGCTCCCAATGCCTGACACATTTGCAGACCCGCAACTGAAATGGGGCATTCTACCGCCGAAAATAGCAAATAAGCGGGGATTATGGGAGAGAAACCGCAGAGAAAAGCAGCTGCAGACAACCGCAGAGTCATCAGCCACCAAACAGCGAGCACCAAACAACGAACACCCAGATCTCCAGCAACATCCGCGCATATTGGAAGATGGAGACGGGCGCACTTATCATTCAACTTCGCAGCGAATCGCACGCGCGATTCATAATAATCGGAGTGTGCTAAAAGCAGAAGGAGTCCGAAGCAGCGGAACACATGGCATGGACATGGAAGCCATAAGAATGCTGTCGTCGAGCCAAGAAGCTGCCAACCAGTCCGACTCCAACTGGAAGTCCCATTGCAAAGCAAACGCACTATTACGAGGCAACCGAAGCGGCGGTGCCAGAAAAAGAAAGTTATTGGAGCCGGTTGTGGCCGCCACCTGCTGCCACCCTCCCTCGTCGCTGCGCTTTGCATGCTGATCATCTTCCAGCTGGGAGCGACTCCTTCGGCGAGCTCCATGTCGCCGTCTAATGAGACCGCCTGGCCACCCTTGCGACACTACGACATTTGGGACGATCCGGTTGATCCCGAGGAGGATTCCCTAACGGAGGAGGCGGACTTCAAGCTGCAAACTGGAATTCAGGAGGAGTTGGATATGGAGTGGCAGCAGCAGGACATCTCCGAGGGGAGTTTCAACCATACCAACAAACGACAGGGAAAGGGTGAGTTAAAGGATACAATTATTAAATTCTCGAAAGTCATGAATTGGTAATAAAGGATTTTAAAGTAAGTAAAGATTTTATAAGAATTTTTATGACTAGTTCTTGACAATAACTACCTCCTCCCACCACAGTGATCCACCTGTTCCCTGTGCCCGTGGACGGCGACTGCCTGTCCAACGATGGTCGGCGGATGGGCAACTGCCTCAACGCCTACGAGTGCCACCAGAAGAACGGACAGGCGAAGGGAGAGTGCGCCATGGGATTCGGGGTGTGCTGTGTGTTTGTGGCCAGCTGCAACACCACCATCTCGAACAACATCACCTATATCGTCTCGCCGGGATTCCCCAGCTTCATGCCCAGCAACTTCAGCGGCTGCAGCCTGCGGGTGAAGATGATGAGCGACGAGATCAGCCAGGTGAGGATCGACTTCCACCACTTCACTTTGGGCCAGCCAAATCGAAGGACTGGCGTGTGCGACGGCGATGTGTTCAGTATAGGCGGCGGACCAGGGGGCAACTTCTCCATCTGCGGTCAGAACAGTGGGCAGCATTGTAAGTACAATGGGCATTACCTGTTCCCATTCAAACACATCTTTCGCTCCAGTGTACTACGATGTGGGAGCGCGAGCTTCACCAAGGCAGTCCACTCTGTACGGGAGCCTTCGCCCGGTGGATGCAAGCAACGCCACCAGCAACTCCACGTCCACTGGCGAACGCTTCGTCGACATCAACCTCAACCTGTCCAATCGCTTCCTGCCCCTCCGCATTTGGGAAATGAGTGTGGTCCAGATCCCCTTCAATCAGCGCGCTCCTGCGGGTTGTCTGCAATACCACACGGGAACAGAGGGCGTCATGCAGACCTTCAACTTCGCCGAGAATGGCCGGCACTTGGCCAACCAGAACTACAGGATCTGTGTACGTCAGGAGCTGGATATGTGCTCGATCATGTACCAGCCGTGCGATGAACAGTCCTTCCGGATTGGCGGTGGCGGTCGAATGGCCACCAGAGCAGGAGAATCCTCTGCAGGAGCACAGACAGCTTCCAATCCGGGCGTGGCACAATCTGATGCGGCAGGTGCCACAGCAGCACCGGGTAATGCAGCAATGACCACTGCTGCTCCCACTTCCAGCACCCTGATGCAGATGCTGGCCAACATGGCCAACATGGCCAACTCCACCACTGCTACACTCGCGACCATGATGTCTGGGAACTCCACTCCAGCGGCAAGTGCTGCATCCCCAGGAAGCAACGTGAACAGCAGCAGCACCAGCAGCAGCAGCAGTACGGCCGCCATGAGCACGACGACAACATCGACAACCACTCCGACTCCCCTCCGCTCCAGCACAGAAGCTTCCACCACCACCTCGCAGGCACCGGCATCCTCGCCAGCCGCCGACGACGTGGAGGGCTCAGGAGGCGGCGACGGGGAAGATGGTGACGACGACGATGACGGCGGGTTCCTGTTCTTCAGAAGTCGACCCACAACTGAAGAACCGGGCGTCTCCCGACGCCCACGGCCCAGTGGAGGCTTCGACATAATGGGCATGATTCGGAATGCCCTCGACCTGCCGCTGAAGTGGCGTCGTCGGCAGGGCCGCCAGTTCTTCAGCACCTGTTCGGATAGGATAACAATGCCCTGCATCATCGAGGACTTCATCGGCACAGGGCTGGGCCCTCTTCCCGGGTGCGAACCCGTCCACTGTGGCGCCCAGTTCTGCTCGTCGGGCGTGTGGCCGTGTCGCATCGAGAGCACAGTGACCCCGTTTTACATAGGCGTCCATTTCGGAAACGGGATGGGTGCTGGCAAGGCGAATGCCGAGGACAACGTGGGCGCTTGTCTGCGGTTCTCCCAGGTGCAGTGCATGTAGGAGTTTCGTTTTCGTTTTAGAAAATACAGAGGGTTCGTTATCAATAGTTTCAGATTTGCACCCAATCATTGTATTTATGTACAAGCCTTCATCTAATTTAAATACTTCTAAAAAGCTTTCACAAAGATGTTACTTAAATTATTGAAATTTACAAACTATGTTAGCAGTACCTAATTTACCTGACTCTTGTGAAAATGATTTTATGGCTTGTACAAAATATGCACACGGTGGACCAGATTCCACAACTTATTCGAGCTTAAGTTTAATTTTGAGAACTTGCTAGGTTATACAAGCACATTGGGAATAGGCGGAGCATTCTGAACTTACTTAGTTCGGCAGTAGCCTTTTTAATTTTGTTCTTTTCTTTTATAAGATTGTAATTTTTGAGATTGCCAATAAAGTGTAAATGTGTTTGTGCAAACGGAAAAATGGGAGTATTTTGAACTTATAAAGTATAGTAGTAGCCATATTCACTTTGTTCTTTTGGATTTTTTAAGAATACTTTGAGACTGCCCATAAAGTGTAAACATGTTTGTGCAATGGGACGTTATGCAACAAAAACGAGCAGAATTAATTAAATGTTCGTCGGGGACGTGTGCGTTTACATGAGTTTTCATTTCTTGGAATGCGATCTGCCACAGAAGCACACGAAATAAGATGCCAACTAAAAACTGTGCCCCTTACCAGGCTCTTTGGCTTGCAGCGGGAAATAAGCACGTACAACAGGCAAGCAAGTAATACTTATATTAGAAGAAATCACCCGCAGCCTTATAGGCACGCGGGCAGTTTTGTTCAGCGTACTTGGCATAGGCGCTTTTTGACCCCTGTTTGATAGGCAGCGAACTGGAGTGCTTGTTCCAAACGTGCACTACGTACGAGTCCTTGCAGCGGGCCATCGTCTCCTCCGTCTTCTCCGGCTCAAAGAAGTCACGCCACTGCTTCCAGGGCACCGCGTAGAAAGCTCCACGTCCGAAGACCTTGAATCCCAGACAGCGCTTGGGATCCTCCTGCATCAGAGCAATGTCCTTGGTGCCGCAAATCTTTTGGGCCACGCGGGTTATAACCCCCGGTCCGTTGTTTCCCCAGTCACGGGGGCTGAAATTGTGCTGAAAGTCACGCAGACACGACTCCGCGATTTCGTGGCCAAAACCTGTGGCTGCCAGGCTCATGACGCCAGCGGCCAAGTGGGTGTTCGACTCGGCACCGGTGTAATTAGGCGGCACTTCCTCCATGTTGCGGAGCACCACCACGTCCATGTCTAGGTAAATACCGCCGTAGCGATAGAGGGTGAGATAGCGCAGAAAATCCGATATGTGCGAAAAGAGATACCTTGGAGGGAAAGTCAGTAACTAGTTCTACACATGGTGAACATCCAAGCTCACCTGGATCGGAACAGGCGGCCGTCCTTGAACCACTCCTCGATGGGTGTGCCGGCAGCATAGCTCCTGAGATTTAATCGCCGCAGGTGCACATTGCCATAGCTAAGAATAGCCTCGACTAGTGGCTGGGAATGGCTCCTGTTGCGTCCGCCTGTGGAGATTCGATAGGTGGGTCCGGCAAACAGGACGAACACTTGAAAATTCGGATTGTGCAGCGCCGCGGACTCGATTGCACAGGCCTGGCGGGCGGTGAGCTTCAGCTTTTCAAACTGTCTGTTCTCCGCTTGGTGGCAACTGGTCTCGTGAAAAAGATGCTCCGGCCGGGTGTGGGCTTTGGCTCCGCCAGCAGCACATCCTCCAAAGGACTGGCATCCGCACTGGCATCTGGCGCCCTAGTCGCCGTTCCTGCTTGGTCCTCCACGAAGCACAGATAGTAGTCATTTTGCCAGGTCAAGGTGTAGACAATGCTCCCAATCAGCACCAAGATGAGAATGCCAAACAGGACCCGCAGGCGCCCGTTGTGAAGAAAGCGGGCCGCCAAAATGGGCAGACGCAAAAGCATGATAAATCAGACTAAAATAAGAAAACAGAAAACTAATTGCATATTAAACATCAAGCTATTTAAAGATTAAAAGTTGATCCCTGACCTCATTTCGAACATTGATAGAATGCCAATAATAAAATATTTGTCTCACTATTTTGATAACTCACTATGCCTTCGCAGCTAGCACACTCTGGCCGGCTGCATCATTAAATCCCTCTTTGTTGATAAGCAATACTTTTGCTAAAAACAATAACGGCAATACCACAACAAAGACCAGTGTTACCGGCGGGGGATGTTAATCGATAACATATGGTGTGGACAGGCACACTACGGTGTACTTAAACTATATTTTTAGTATTAAATGGCTTTGGTATAGCTAAGTGAGTCCCACGGTCACACTGGCGTGGAAAGCGGCATTTACTTTGAGAGTTTTACGATTTTTTTCAATTACCAATTTCAACGTAAATTGGCCGGCGCAGCGCACGCAACGACCGGTAGACGTCCGATACACCCATTACCCATATAGCAAAATAGTGAAATGAATGTTCCTCCTAGTGTGGGCAATGGAGGAGCACCGCCGGGAAGGGGCATGTACACGCCGCCCAATGCGATTGTGCCGCAGTTTCCGCCTCCGGGATTTGCGGCCCCGCCCCCTCCGGAGCTGGCCGCCGCCTTCGGGGTTATGGCCTCCAGCACGGAGTGGACGGAACATAAGGCACCGGACGGGCGACCCTACTACTACAACCAGAATACGAAGCAAAGTTCTTGGGAGAAGCCAGAGGCCCTGATGACGCCCGCCGAGTTGCTACACAATCAGTGTCCCTGGAAGGAGTACCGTTCTGACACGGGCAAGGTTTACTATCACAACGTCGCGACCAAGGAGACCTGTTGGGAGCCGCCGCCGGAGTACGTAGACATGAAGGCCAAGGCGAAGGCGGAGGAGTAAGTGAATGAAGAGACGTTCTTTTTAAGTCCTCCACTAATTAACTCGTTTTGTTTAACCAGAGCTGCTGCTGCCGCAAAAGCCGTGGCGGCCATGACTTCGTCTAGCTTGGCGGGCATGGTGCCCCATGCTGCTCTGGCCAACATCCTGCCCGCCGCCCTACCCGCTGCCCCCAGGATACCCACGCCCGAGATTCATTCGCCCTTAACGCCCAGCAGCAATGAGAATTCTTCCTCCGCATTGGACCAGGCAATGGCAGCCACTTTGGCATCTATTGAGGTTCCACAACAGAATGGTAAGTCCTCATGCCAGATATTATTTAATTTACCTTCTCATTGACTTCTCTCTTCAGCTAAAAAGGATGAAAAGTCAGAAAGCACAATGGTGTTCAAGGACAAACGCGAGGCCATCGAGTCATTTAAGGAGCTGCTCCGAGACCGCAACGTGCCCTCTAACGCCAACTGGGACCAGTGCGTGAAGATTATATCAAAGGATCCGCGCTACGCCGCATTCAAGAACCTCAACGAGCGCAAACAGACTTTCAATGCCTACAAGACGCAGAAGATCAAGGACGAGCGGGAGGAATCACGCCTGAAAGCCAAAAAGGCAAAGGAGGACCTGGAGCAGTTCCTTATGTCTAGCGACAAAATGAACTCGCAGATGAAGTACTTCCGCTGCGAAGAGGTTTTTGCTGGGAACAGGACATGGACGGTGGTGCCAGAACCGGATCGGCGGGATATATACGAGGATTGTATATTTAACCTGGCCAAGCGAGAGAAAGAAGAGGCCCGGCTGCTTAAAAAGCGCAACATGAAGGTTCTGGGCGAACTGCTCGAGTCAATGACGTCGATTAACCACGCCACCACTTGGTCAGAAGCCCAGGTAATGCTACTGGACAACGCGGCATTTAAGAACGATGTGACCCTGCTGGGGATGGACAAGGAGGATGCCCTCATTGTCTTCGAGGAGCACATTCGGACCTTGGAGAAGGAGGAGGAGGAGGAACGCGAGCGGGAAAAAAAGCGGATGAAACGGCAGCAGCGCAAGAATAGGGACTCTTTCCTGGCACTGCTTGATTCTCTTCACGAAGAGGGCAAGCTTACTTCTATGTCGCTGTGGGTGGAGCTGTATCCCATAATATCCGCCGACCTGCGATTCTCCGCCATGCTTGGCCAGAACGGCTCCACACCCCTGGATCTCTTCAAGTTCTACGTGGAAAACCTAAAGGCTCGTTTCCATGACGAGAAGAAAATTATTCGGGAAATCCTGAAGGAAAAAGTATTTGTGGTCCAGGCTAAAACTTCCTTTGAAGACTTTGCGACGGTTGTGTGTGAAGATAAACGTTCAGCTAGCCTGGATGCGGGCAATGTGAAACTCACCTACAACTCCCTGCTAGAAAAGGTAATTGATAAGTGGGGAAATACTTAGGCTCTTTTAATATCTAATTCATTCTAGGCGGAGGCCATTGAAAAGGAGCGCATGAAGGAGGAGGTGCGACGGTTGCGAAAGTTAGAAAACGAGATCAAGAACGAGTGGCTGGAGGCCAACGTGTCAGTGGCCGAACCCTACGAGAGTGCCAAGAAGCTGGTGGAGCACCTGGAAGCATTTGCTTTGTACGAAAAGGAAATTGGTGTGGAAAAGATCTGGGAGGACTTCATTAAGGAAAGCGAAGATGCCTGCAGCCATCACCACTCGCGGTCACGAAAATCAAAAAAGAACAAGAAGCACAAAAAACGAATTCGATCCACTTCGAGGTCGGACATTGAGAACGAGCAAGTCGAATTGGAGAAGTCCAAGCGAAGACGTTCCAAGTCGCGATCGGTTAGTATAAAACCCGTTCAACATGTGTACAAAATAACGTTATTCCCCAACAGCATTCCCTGAGCACGATCGGCAGCATCGAGAGCGAAAAACTGTTAAAGAAGAAAAAGAAGCGCAAGAACAAGCTGCGAGGTGTATGTAGCTAAACCAAACATTTTCCAAAACCTAAAATCTAACAAGGCTTAAATTTCAGTCCTCCTGCGAATCGGAATTGGCAGGCAACCAGTCGCCAGGCACTCAAGCACTTCTGCAAAACGACTCAAACTCGCATTCGCCGGCCAAGAAAAAAAAGAAGGAAAAGCGAGCCAGGAAGGACAAAGAGGGCAAGCGACACAGGCACAACCGCTCCGGCACGCCCCTCAGCCCCGCTCAGTCCATTGATTCGCCGGGATCGCGGAACGAGGAGTTAACGCTAAGCGACGGCGAGCTAGAATCGAAGCGCGCGGCCTTGCTGGCGCAACTGAGCGAACAGCTAGACGAGTAACTGGCGGACGGCACTGAGCCTAAACCGACATAGACAGCGTGTGGCACACTCAAGCTCCGGCTGAGCAGCAGGCATCGATGTCAGTTGCTAGACGAGTTCTCCCGCGTCCTTGCCTTCCACTGCACCCCACTTTGTTTGGTTAAGATGTAGTCCTGGCCTCAGCACAAGCCACACAGCGAACCACTAATGTAATTCTTAGTCGCAATAAGTTTCAATGTATAAATGAGAATTAAAACTATCCAGTCAAGTTTTAAGTTTTACGCAAATGATTTTGAGTCTCGCATCAAAATAAACGAGAAATAACGTAATTCCAGGAATATTGTTTGATTTGTATTATATTATTTACGTAGAAAGAACTCTGGCTTTTAATTTGAAAAGAAACAATAATTTAGTTTTCACTATGTTTAATGACATTCTCGACAAACGCACGAATGGAAAAGTAGTTTTCATTTTTGCTGTGTACTTAAAACTTGAATTCCTTGTACTTCTTTGTGGTCTTGGCTGGATCCGTTTGTTGCCGCTTGCGCTTTGATTTCTGTCTCGCCACATGCTCCGCCAACATGTCTGACAGATCCTCCTTCTGCAGGTGATTCTGCTGCTCGCGCATCTGCTGCTCGTAGCGCTGAGCCATTGCGTCGTTGTCCATGTCCAATTCGCTGGGATCGAGTGCCAGTTCCACGATGCCCTCGCGGTCTGTGGTGGATCGAACTGGAGGCTGTTTGTTAGCCCCACTGCCGCTGACATCGTAGACATGAGTTGATCCCATCATTGAGGCGCCTATGCGGTCTGTGCGCTTCTCGGGCAGCACTTGGTACAAAACGGGGGTTTCATTGCTAGGAGAGGGCCGAATTCATAATTTAGTTTGGCTCTTGTTTTGCAGATCTTATTTTACTTACTCCTCCATCTCGGCTTCGATTTTCTTCTTGCGCAGCTCAATGTTTTCAGGGGTTTCCATGCCTGCTGGCACACTGGTCAGCCCAGACGGTGTGACCAGTCCCTCCACTGGCGTGACCAGTCCAGTCTCATCCTGCTGATCGCCCAAGTCCTCGCCATCCTCCTCCTCCTCTTCGGAGGATTCTTCTGACTCCGATTCCAGTTCGCCCCATTGGTTGCGTTCAATATCGGCCTCGTCAATGCCGTTCTATATGAAAATATACCATATATCACAAAAATAGATCAAAATGGATTGTCAATACTCACATCCAAGTCCAATATATTGGTCCCGAATACATCACCGTACAGCGGCTTTCCGTTCTCATCCACTGGAGGTTTTCCCCAACCTCCTGCATGATAACCGAATGAGGTTCCGTCTGGGATAGGTGCGTTTAGGCCGGGAATTTTAAGATTCGGGTATGAAGGAGGCGGCCCGTAACGTTGTTGAGCAATAAGCCACGGGGGCGGAATCTTGTGCGAGTTAGGGCCCACGGGCATGCCCAAGGCAATGCGCAATTCTTCGGAAAGGTCACCTGGTTTCTTCTCCTTAAGACGTGTCTCGAACTCTTTGCCCTCGTAGTAAAGATCGCCATGAATAGTCATGCGGGGCTTGGTCTGCCATTTGAAAAAGGCGTCGTGTAGTTTCTGATAGTCAATGTCGATCTTGCCCATCTTTGGACGGACGCGTTCACGCATCTTGGCCTTCAGAGTCTTGGCGTCTTCACGCTCCTGCAGTGACTCACGCATTTCCATGATGCCAGTCTTCTTAATGAAGGCAGGAAGATCGAATGGAGGCTTTTCAATGCCCCTCTTGCCCTGCAGATACTTTCGCTTGAAACACCAATGCCGCGGCACCTGCACTGTGTTCCTGTAGGCCTTCAGTTGGACCAGCAATTTGGGATCTCTGGCCGTGACATCGTGCATCTCAACAACATCGGGTCGGGAGACCAATTGCTTCAGTTCTGCCACACTCAGGCGGGTTAATTTTTTGAGCTTGCGCTTGGAAAGCTTTTCTTTGTCCTCTTTGCGCTCGTCGTCATCATCGCCATCGTCGTCTTCGTCCTCAAGTAGTTTGTCGGCTGCCTTTTTGTCCTTTGAGAGGGCCTCGGAGTCTAACGAAGACTTGTCCTTTTCAGCTGGCTTTGGTTTATTCTCCAGTTTGAAGATTTCAAAAACCCGATAGAACTGGCGGTACATGGGAGCCAGATCGGCAATGGTGATTTTCTCGGGCACGTATCTATAAGGAGTTAGTTTCATTTTAGGTTTAAAATAACATTTCAATTACTTACTCAACAGTCACATCCTCTTCATTGGCCTCTCCCGCCTTTTTATCTTTTTCCTTTTCATCGCCACGATCCTTCCTTCTCTTGCTGCGACTGTCCTTATGTTTGTCTTTCTTCTCCTTCTCGCCGACCTGTTCGTCATCGCTGCCCGGGACCTTGGTCTCTTGCTCCTTGGTCGGTTCCTGATCCACGACCTCGGAATCATCCGCTTGAGCCAATTGCTGCTGCCTTTCAAACTCCAGCTGGTGGCGAATTTTCTTGTTCTGCTTCTTGCGCTTTTTTTCTTTTTTGTTCCGCTCCGCCTTGCTCTGCCTGCCGGACTTTTGGCCACCGGCACCGTTCACCTGGTTCTCCGCATCATCCTCACTCTCCTCGCCCACATCTGCATCTTCACCGTCCTGTGTTGCACCCCCGCTGCCCCCTTGCGAGTCGGCGTCGACCGTAAACTCCGCAACCCGCTGGTCCTTTAGGGCCAAGACATCCTCCAGGGCTTTTGGAAGAACCAGCTCAGAGGCGGATTTCTCAGCATCCACACCATCTTCAACAGATTCACCGGCAGCATTCCCATTTCCATTGCCGTTTTCATTCCCATTGGCCACCGCACTTTCGTGCTGCTGTTGATCGAATCGAATGGACATCAGCGGGGTGGGCTGGCCGGCCTGATAATTGGGGCAATTAACAACAGAAAAGTCGGCGGTTTAATAAGCTTACCTCGTTGTTTAACTGGTCTGCCATAAATTAAGAAAATTTATAAAAACCAAACCACCAGCGAAAAAACAATTTTAGCGATGAGCGAAACTCGATAAATGTACAACAACGATAGCTCGATAGCTGTCAATGGGAAGGGAAAGTCTAACCAAGTTGGCAGCTCATATTCAACGGGTGACCAATGTTGCGACAGCGTGGTTCTTGCCGACAGCTGTTTTATATCAACTTTAACGTACAAAGGTAAATAATGGCTTAAAATGAATAAAAATAAATTTATAACAACTAACATGACTTACAATTTTTTTCACAGTGCAACATTTCCAGTGCACAGTGTGCCTTGAGGTTGCAAACATGTTTAAGTTTAATTTTGAAGTAGAAGCGGACTCCTCTATTGATCCAGAAGTCGTTAAAAGTCCTATTTTTAATAAGAAAGAAGATTCTATAGAGCCTGATTTGAAAAATACAAATGATATAGAGTGGTACCAGGCAGAAAAGGTAAAGCCAATAGATAACCTTATATCTACCCTGGATTTCTACGAGCTAAATGCCAAGGAGACTAGTGTGCAAAATACAACAATACGACACCTTGTTGCCGGTTTCCTACTGGAAGATATAAAAGCTCAAACCCACCTGGAAAACCTTGATATCCGAAAATCTGAAGAAAACCATTCCGATCTAATAGCTGGGGTCTACGAAGGCGGTGCAAAAATATGGGAGTGCACAGATGATCTTCTTCTGTATCTATCGGAGAAATATGATGACTCCTTCTGGAAGGACAAGAGAGTTCTGGATTTGGGTTGCGGTTCCGGGCTACTAGGAATTTATGCCATTAAACACGGCGCGCGTGTTGACTTTCAGGACTATGTAAGCTTACAATGGCTCTCGTTTGTTGTTTACATTCTTATGAATCTTATATATTCAGAACAAAGACGTTTTGGAATACATCACATATCCAAACATCCTGCTGAATGTTGACGAAACGCTAAGTGATGATGAAAAGCTGGAATTTTTGGACAAAAATACGAGCTTGTATTCCGGGGACTGGTCAAATTTTACTCAACTAACGCAAGGTGTTGAGAAATACGATCTTATACTTACCTCCGAGACAATCTACAATATTGAAAATCAGCAAAAGCTCTTGGAAACCTTTGCTGGTCGTCTGAAGCCGGATGGTATAATTTTTGTTGCTGCAAAAATGCACTATTTTGGTGTAGGAGGTGGCTTGGAACAATTTTCAGATAAGATAAAACATGGGAATGTTTTTCAAAGTCAAACTGTCTGGCAGGCAGACAAAAATTTGAGAAGAGGAATTTTGGAGTTAAAATTTAAATAAAATCCTTTTACTGACGTTTTACGGTGAGCCACTTTTAGGAATCAAATTTGGGGCTTAAATGCTATGAGTTTCGGGTCGACCATTGGTAAACGGAAAATTAAGTTAAGAACCCAATTACAAACGTCTAGCTATCACGCATAAAAAACTTGGAAATACAAGAAATGGAAATGAACAGAGGCGAAAAATCGACATTCATAAAATTAAACATTTAGAATTCAGTTACTACTAGATTGCAATTCCAAACTTTTTATTGAATTTTGCATTCAAATTGAAGTGGTTTTGGTAGCCCGACATAAGAACTTAGGTTGGCAGCCCTCACCAAGCGAGGCACCCTTTACCAAGGCGATGACAGTCAGCTGAGTTGTTGTTCTGGAATAACAGACGAATTGTGAGTACTTTCGTTGTGCTTTAATAAAACAATTAATATGGATCACCTGGCACTGATAAATGCTTTGGAACATTTCCTGCCAATAGGGCGAGCACTAATCTAATCAAAACTGTTTCCACACACGCTGCCCGGAACTCCTTAAAAACCACTCATCACCGGGCGAAATTGCCTAATCGATGTTCTTGATGTCTGCCGGCTTTTCGGATTTTTTCACGGCAGCCAAGATATCAGAGGACGAGGAGGCCAATTCAGAGGCAAACAGAGCTCTCTGCTGCTGTGAATACGTTTCAGATGAGAATAAACAGCGATCACACATTCTAGGATGCTGTTGTAACTGTGTGGACCTCGACTTAGTGTTTACAAGGTGGGTGAACAAATGTAAACTTAGCTAAAATTTGAAATTAATTGTTTGCGCCCCGCAGACTCGTCACCTGCCGGCCCATCAATCAAAGGAACATAGACGGCATGCTGATCGCCTTCCAGGACCGGTTGCGTCTGCCATGGCGAGGCGGTGCCAAGCGAATCTCTCCCGCAGCCGTGGCCCCCGCGTTTATTGTGCCTCTCATGTTGGGATTGGCCACTTTAAACTCCAAGACGGCCGTGGTATTAATGCTCACATTGATTGGCTTCACTGGGTGGGGCGTACAGCAGGCCAAGCGGACGGACACACGGACCAACTTCTTTCTCAGCTGGCTGGTCTTCTCTGTGTTTTACATGATCCTCATATTCGAGTTCCAGGTGCCACTGCTTGAGTTGGCCCCGGAGGAGAACTACGCCCTGATGTTCTTCTCCTGTGCTGCCCTGTACTGTCTGTACTCCGCCAAGGTGCTGTCTCCTCTGAACCTGGTCTCTGCCCAATACGGAACCACGCCCAAGGATGAGTTGCCGGGCATCGCGGAGGCTTCTAGTGGTGAAGAGCAGGCAGAGGCCCAGACCACGCTCCAGATGGAGAGTGTGCTGAGCCTGGACAACGATGACGAGGTGGTGGACATGGACACTGCTGAGCGATCGGGTCTGATGCACGGGCAGCCTAACATCTGCGAGAGCTGCCGCAAGGTGACTCCACGGCGAGCATACCACTGCAATGTGTGCGGCACCTGCGTGAAGAGGCGGGATCACCACAGTTATTGGTTGAACTGCTGCATTGGGGAGCGGAACTACATGTGGTACATAGTCGGACTGGCTCTGTCGGAGATCGCGCTGCTACTCGGTGCCAATTTGACCCTTACGTCGATTTGCCATCCCTTTATGGTCGTGAGACCACTGGGATATCCAGTGCTTTTGCCGGACGACTGCAGCGAGGTATTTGAAGGTTTTGAGTGAGTAGAACATTTGATTTACACTAACCCTTGCTATAAAAATGCCATTTTAAGGCTTGGCATCTCTTTTGTGGTGGCTTGCTACGCCCTACTGATCTCCGCCTACATCGCCTTTATACTCACTCGACAGGCCTACTTGTGGTGGAAGGGCTCCACCCTGCACGAATATAAGCGTGCATCGAACGCCGCTGGTCGCAATCGAATCTGGAGCAACTGGAAAGCAATTTTGAAGTGATTGCCCACATACCAAAAAGCAGAAAGCACTCGCTTGTCGCTCAAATACTAAAGTATTTCCACTTTAAACGCTGTTCTTTATAGTCGTACTTAGTTGTAGTGCTTTAAGGTCTTAATGCAATTTCAAATTTACTCAAAATAAATACAATTAAGAAATTATAACGAAAAGATATTAAACTACCACAAGCTGTCCTCCCGCGGTTTGTAATCGGGCAGCAGCTCCCAGATTTTCATGCGCCACCGCTGGCGTCGCTCTTCTGTCTCCTTTTCGATTTTGAGGATCTGCGGTAGGCGTCGCCAGCAGTCCAGCACCTTCCACTTAAGGTGCCTATAAAATTTTGTTAATAATTCAACAGTTATCTCTTTTTAATATTTTTCTTAAAAAAAACATACCACTCATGATGCGAGATTGCCTGACGAGTCTTGGTGTCTTCGATCATCCGACAGCGCGTGGAGTAGTGATGCCATCGACCGAACCAGTATTCCATAGCATGCAGAGAATGCCAATCAATGGCTACCAGCATCTTGGTCCTCTCATTCTGCACATACTCCATCCAACCAAAAAGGGCGCGTCGCTTGAGAATGTTATGCCAGCACCGCTCTGCTCGGATCATCTTCTCGCGCTGCTTATATGCAGTATAGTTGTGCCACGACTGGAAGGCGCGCTTTTTGAAAAGCTGTTTAAGGAATTCAGAAGGATATCAGCTCTTTAACAATACCAAATCCATGAGAAACCTTACTTGGCAACGGAACTCCTCGCTCTTGACCAGATTTTCGCGCTTGCGTTGGAGCAATCGTTTAAAGCCCTCCATGCCGATTCGTTTTAGCAGAAGCCGTCGACTAAACTCCACGGCCTTGCGTTGATTCTCTATAAAGCGTTGGCGTTCTCGCTCCTTCAGGACCTTGGCCATTTTCTCCTGGCGTCGCTTTTCTTTAAGCACCTCGATCCTCAGTCGCTTGGCTTCTTCGTCCTCCAAGCGCTGAAAGATAGTTATGGTATTTAAAAGTCCTATAATCAAATAATTTTTGTATATAACCTTTGCTTCCTCTAGGGCTACCTTGGCCGCCTCCCTTTCGGCTTCAGCCTGAGCCCGTCGCTGACGGGCCTGCTCATGACGGATACTGCGCTCCGTTGCCCGCTCTTGCATATGCTGAAGAAACCGTGGTTGAAGTAGCGCCTTGCCCTGCAGTCGGGCCATTTCCTCGTCATCCGCGTCGCGCAGACTGCCGATCAGTTGCAAGCATTTTGCCTTCGCCTTGGCCTTCGGATCCCCACAGCGGATAACCGTCTTCAGCTCCTGCTTGAGATCTTCACGAGCCTCTTTGGCCTCATCGCTGAGTTTGGACAGTTTTAGCTGCATGATAAGCCGCTCTTGGCGCTCCAGCTTTATCCGCTGCAAATCAATAATATCCTGCTGCACTTTGAGTCTGGCAATGGCAAATCGTTAAAATAAGTATGTTTCAACTGCGAAATTAAGCTACTTACTTGTTCTTAAATTGTTTCGCTAGCTTCACAGCCTCCTCCCGCTGCTCCAGGGATTTCTGCGTGTTCTTACTTGTCTCGCTGACAGCTTCTGTACGTTGTCGTTTCTTCTCCTGCCTCACCTTGTCCAGGAAAGCGTTGATCTTCTGCACCCGATTGTCACGCGCTTGACATTTCTGCCCCTGCTCCCGCTCGATCTTTTCCATCGTTGTGAAGTGTATCCACTTGAGGAAGTACTTGCGCATCATCACTAATTGGGTGTTTGCCCTCGCATGGAAGAGCTGATCGATGATCTTCTGCTTCTCGTGTGTAGGCGCCACATCCGAATCATCCTCGCTTTCGGTGGGGAGCTCTGGTCGCTCAGGTTCCTTGGGCTTGACCACAACCTTGGGCAACTCTATGCGCCGGATAAGTAGTGGTTCCGGGTCAGGCTCCGCTTCTGATTCTACAATAGGATGTGTACTCGGTGTGGGAGTCTTCTTTTGGGGCAACTGAAACTGCACGTGCTTCGGCGGTGTAGGCAATTCCTTGTCGAGTTGATCGTTCTGCTCTTCGGCAGCCTCCAACTGTAGTTCATAGAGCGCTTCCTCCGCTAAATCAGAGATCACCGAGTCTATCCCATCGCTTGTGTTTGAGCAGGTGGAGGATTCCCTTCTCAGCGAGGCGGGTTTGTCATCTGGTTGCTGCTCTTCCTTGTTTCCCTCTTGCAACTCCTCCTCGTGGCGAACAGTGCGCACATGGAGCATCTGGCGCTCCGCTGCCGCCCGCATGGGCCGGAAGAACTCTTCTGTGGAGGTCAGCGGACTGGGAGTGCGGCACCGCAGCAGCTTCGCCTTGCTCTCGTCCGCCTGGACTTGCTTGGCAAAGTTGCGATATTCGAGGGCATCAAAGGATATAACCTGTTCCTCAAGGAAAGCAGGGATCTCGTTGACCAGGGCTTCCTGCTCAGCCCATTCACAATCCATGTCCGCTTCCTTCTCCGGTTCCGGTCTTAGTTGCTGAATCAGGCTCTTGGTGGCCTCTGTCTTGGATTCGGAACACATCTGCGCTATCTGACCCAAGGCCTGGACAGGAGTGTTGTAGAAGTTATCTATGTGCTGGGCCGCCTGGGCCAGACTCTTCACCAGCGGTCCGTTGTTCAGCTTGAAATCCGGCTTAGTCGGAGGAACTCGGTGAGACTTGCTTCGCTGGAATTGTCGGGCCAACTGCTGGCGAAACTTCTGCAGCTGGTTGTCGATGAAACGCTGCTCCACCTCCAGATTGTGTGCCTTGGTGGCTTCCAAGGAGCTGCCATGATCATGAGCCAAAGTGGCCAGGGGCAACTTGTGAGGGATCTTTTGAAACTGAAGCAATAAAAAATATTTTAATAATACATTAAATTTCGTACAAAAATATACGGAATGCTCTCACCATCTTATGCCGCATGTCCATAATAACACTTGGATTCAAATGCTTTGGCTCATCTCCTTCGATCAGAAGGCGCTCCTGTCGCTTTCCAACGTAGTCGGCCTCGATAAAGCGACGCACCGCATCCGTCTTCAGCCCCAAAGGGTTCGCCTGCTGGTGACGCTTCCTTATGCGATCCCATCGCGACTCCTTAGTGGGCTTCTCACGTCGTTTAACATGCGACATATTTAAATATTGTAAAATTGTGATAGTGAAATTTCAAGTTTCTTCAATATGAAAACTAAATGTGAACTGGGTGACAGAAAAATGGTCATAAACAAGTTGAAAGCATTGTCCTGACAACGAAAACAGCCGGCCGGGGTGACTTACCCCTGCTATAAACTTATTGAAGACCTATAATCGAAAATAACCCCTTAAATAGCACAAACATTTACGATTGCATTCGAAGCGCAGCTTGATCCAGTTTAATCATATTAAAATTTCTATAAATGCCATAAATATAAGGTAAGTCGATAAGTAAACAAAATTTAAAGGACTTCGCAAGCTTAGCTTAGCGTGTATTTCATAGTAATTGAGTGGTCTTAAGAATTAACCGGCAGCAGGATCCTTCTTGGTCTTTTCCTTCTTTCCCTTTTGCTTCTCGGCGGCAGCCAGCTCCAGATCAATAGGAGCGGGCTTGACGAACGGAATCTCGTCCTGGAACTTGGCCGGTAAGTACTTTTTCAGCGGCTCCGGCACCTTGATGCCCGTCTCGGTCTGATGAGTCTCCAGGATGGCGCAGATGACGCGAGTGGCGGCGCACATTGTGGCGTTCAGCATGTGCACGTAGTCAACGGAGGCGTTCATCTTCTTGGTCTGACCGTAACGCACAAGCAGCCGACGGGCCTGGTAGTCCAGGCAGTTGGAGCATGATACCAACTCTCGGTAGGCGCCACTGCCGCCAAACCAGGCCTCCAAATCCAGTTTCTTGGAGGCGGCGTGGTTTAGGGCACCAGAGACAATGTTCACCACTCGGTATGGAATGCCCAGCGACTGGCAGAATTGCTCCGCGTTGCCGATCATTTCGTCCATCATCTCCCAGGACTTGTTGTCGTGCGGCGATGTAAGCACGAACTGCTCCACTTTTTCGAACTGGTGGACGCGGAATATTCCGCGCGTGTCCCGACCGTGGGAGCCGACTTCCTGGCGGAAGCAGGTGGACAGACCGGCATACTTAATGGGCAGCGAAGCCTCTGGCAGCCACTCGTCGCGATGGTATGCGGCGATGGGCTGTTCCGAGGTAGCGATCAAGTACTTCTCGTCAGTGCCCACTTCCTCGGCCTTCTCGCTGCCCTTGCCCACCACCTTGTAGAGCTCCTCATCGAACTGCGACAGCTGGGCCACCTCCTGCATAACCTCCTTGCGCATGAAGAAGGGCGTGTACAGGGGCACGTAGTCGCGGGCGTACAGTAGGTGCAGGGCGTGCTGGATAAGGGCCTGCTCCAGGAAGACAGCGGCTCCAGTGAGAAAGTAGCCACGTCCGCCGGACACCACAGCTCCCTTCTCTGCGTTCATGCCGTCGATCATTACGATGAGGTCAACGTGTGAATACTTTCCGCGCTTCTCGCAGTCGCCGAAGGTGCGCTCCACCCGGTTCTCCTCTTCATCGTTGGAAACGGGCACCGATTCGTGCAGGTGGTTGCCCACCTCCCGTAACGAAGTGTTCCTCGTTTGTTCGGCCAACTCCAGCGACTTCTGATTCTCGATCATGGCATTATCGATGAGGATGCGCAACTGCTTGATCTGGCTGACGGTCAACGGCTGCAGGGTTTCGGGGACGATCTCAGTGAGATCCTTTGTGACGCTGGCCGGCGGATCTTCGCTCATGACGCCTACCGGCTCCTTCTTCTTCATCTTCTCGCCGATCACCTTGCTGCACACGTTCTTCACCTTATTCAGGTTGTCCGCGCGGTGGCGACACTGTCGCCACTCCGTGTCCTTGGCAATCACCGTTTCCACGAGTCCCACATCTTTAAAGCGCTTCTTCTGGTTCTCGCGCACGGCGTCCGGGTTGCCGCCTTTGTCGCTGCGAAACAGATCCAGATCCAGCACCATGATATCTACGTTTTGGTTTTAGTCGCTGTTTAGTTTCGATACGTTCGTAGTTTCTAGTCGGCGTTTTCACAACGTGGCTGGCGTTTGCGTCAGCTGGGCAGTGTTGAAAAGCATGCCAGAAGGTGCATCAGGGTTTTTTTTTAAAGATGAAGTGCAATTACATGACTCATTACCATTATCATAAGAAGACAATTCAGTTAATGGTTAGAAAAAAGATTCACTATTTTTTTAATTAAATATTTTTCATCTGATGGAATTCAAGTAAAATAACCACGCAAATTGTAATATTGTCAAAAATTGTTTCGACACCCAAAACATTCATTTTTTTCGTCACTATCCGAAACCACAACCTTTACCCTTCACAACACTGTCAGTTGAGGCAGTTCCAGCTGTTCAAAAACAGTCGAATTGGAGAAGGCAAAAATAGCTTCAAACAGATTTCCCCATCAACAATGAGCTTGATTGACCAGGAAGTTACAGAGTTACGGGCCAAATGTGAAAAGCAGGTGCCGCACACGAAGATTATAATTTGCTCCAACTCCCTTATCCGGGTTGACATATTCCCTGAGCGGCCCAATCGCTCAATGACCGTGTGCCTCCGCTTTCCGGAAAACTACCCAACAAGCACACCCATCCTGGTTGAACTGAAAAGTCGTGTTTACTCCGACTTGCTGCTGACAGAGCTCACCCGGTTGATCGATGACTATGCTAGGGATTTTCTGGGGAAGCCACAGGCGCTATTGGTTCTCACCTTTGCCCAACAGTATTTATCGGACAATCCTCTCTGCGTTTGCCTGGACGAGATCAAGCAGCTGCGGGCTGACATCAAGGCAGGAGGCACGGAGAGCCAGCTGAAGTTGAAACAAAAGAACCGGAGCGTGGAGCTCGTGGCCAAGGGAGGCCCTTACATCTACAGAGTGACCGCTGTCGTGCCGGACAGCTATCCGATGCAGAGTGTGGACCTGCGCGGCCAGGAGTCAAATCTTCCGGCCGTGCTCGTACGCTACCTGAACGGCCAGTCGCGAGAGATAGCGCGCCAGTGCGTGGAGCCCCCAATCCGGATGAGCAAGGAGGCCCTAGCCAATTTTCGGCCAGTAAGAAGCCTGCAACGCTCGCTCAAGTTCTGCTTGGAAGCTGCGCGGGACTTCCACATCGAGTTCTGCCCTATTTGTGATAGTACCGTGTTGCCAGAGGATCCCCAGGACATTGAAACGGATGACAACTCGGACTTCTTTATCGAGCGCGTCTACTGTGGCCACTTGTTTCACCAGGGCTGCCTTAAGAAGTACCTGTCGGAGCCGCCGTTTCCCAAGGGCGGGAAACTCTGCCCGGCCAAGCGTCGGCATCCACGTTCCGATGCTCAAACCTACATGGGCCGGCCTCAGGCTGGGGGAGGAGCGAGCGTGTCTAGGTCTCCGGAGGATGTTGTCTGCGGTATTAAGCTGGCCCATGATCGCTGGGTGGTCAGCGTGAAAACCGCGGAAGCTCGCTGGGCACAGAAACAGGCGCGCCAGCGGGAACTGGAGGAAGTTGTGGACTTTCTGCAATAACAAAGGGTTTAACCCAAGAACAGCTTACTGTGTGTGGTTATGTATTTTGTGATTTCTATTCGAATACGCTTATATTACTAAAGATGAAATAAATAAAGTGGAGATGAAGTGCGACTAGGTTGGGTTTGGAAATGTGTCGTGATGTACTCTTAATGCGATGTCAATAAAATGAGTACATTGCAGTGCAATAAATTGCAATGAACTTCTATCAAATTCTGCGAAATTTTTTGAGGAAACTTGTTTGTTAAATTTAGTCTTTGTTGTAGTTTCTGCTTCCGATAAAACCAGGCGGAATAAAACCAAAATCAGGATTATTAGTTTGTATAGGTGTGAAGAAATACGCTGGAAGCCCTCTTGGTGCAGGCTTATTTGGCTAAACTTCAGAAATCCGTGATTATTTCGTCGTCTTCGTACCGCTTAATAGGGTCACCTTTGATCAGTGATGAAATAAGGCTGTGAGGCGAAGAATAAAGGACTAAATATAGGCAAATAGACGCTTTTAAAGTCCAGAACTAACCAGTAAAGCCCTACGAAGAACATGACGAAGTAGTAGCCCAGGTAGATCATGCAATTCCTTAAATGGACCTTTAAGAGACCCCGACTGTGGATATCCACAGGATCGTAGACTCCCAGACTATCGCGTCGCTGGCGATGGAGCTCGTAGAAGAGCCAAATGACCATAGGCAGGTTCAGCAGAAACATTACCCAGTGGCCTCCAAGGAGCAGGAGAACGCAGAGCAGGGCATGGGATCCGAATTTAGGTATGACCCAAAAATTGAGGCGCCGGCAACACTCCTGGGCGTTAAGATAGTCGCACTCCAGATCCGCAAGTGTAAGAACCTGAAAATTTTCATAGTCGTTAACTTGTTTTCTTTTTTAGAAATCGAAACTTACATAGTAAATCAGGAGCAGCAGAATGGCTCCATACACCAAAAGTGTAATACAAAAGGTGGCTGTTTCGGGCAGAAACATAATTTCACTATAGTTTACTTTTTCACTTATAAATACGAGATTCAAGTTTATTATTTACAGATTTAGCAGCATTTCGCGTTTGATTTGTTTTTAATTAAGAAAATGTGCTATAAAACGCCATACTGCCTTTGGAATAACAGTGCTGGAAGACGGATTCAAACACCAACAAAAAGTAAGCATTTATAATACAGGGATAACAGTCAATAGCCTCTGTAATCGATTTCAAGTTTTGCGATAATTTTTGACGTTTCATATCAGCTGTTTTCTTTGTGAAACCATAACAAACCGTTGAATTATTAAGTTTTTAGCAGAACGTTTTTCAATTAATTTTCCGGCCATGCAGGCTACCATTATCCTAGGGCAGTTCGCAAGGCTCGCGAGGCGTCAGTTTTCAGCTTCGACCCAATCCACGCTCTCCGGGTCCCAAACAAAGAACCAACAATTGCCACCGCCGACAACAAAAACCGGCGAAAAAATGCTTGGATGGCAGCTGCACAACTATGGGGACATTGACGAACTGCAGCTCTCCGATAAGCTTAAAATCCCCCAGATCCGCAGCTCCAATGAGTGTTTGGTTCGGATCCGGACCACGGCCGTGAATCCCATCGATCTTGCCATGCTACGCGGATATGGGGCCACAGTGCTCAATAAGATGCGTTGTCAGCCGGGCGATGGCATCGAATTCCCGCTCATTTTAGGTCGCGAGTTCTGCGGCGAGCTGGTCCAGGCGGGCATGGGTGTACCAGCATCCTTGCTTCCGCTGGGGACCCGCGTTTGGGGAGTGGTACCTCTGCAGGCCAGCGCAGGAGCTCACGCGGAATACGTAGCCGTGCCTTCATATTGTGTAGGTAGTTAAGGTACATAAAAAAAAAATTCCACTTATAAGCATTCTTCCTAAAGCTGGCTCCCGCCCCGAAAGAATTAGATGACAGTGAGGCAGCCAGTGTCTTGTACGCCGGGTTGACGGCGTGGTCTGGTCTGTACATCACCGGGGGTCTGGGCGGTCCTTGTGGAGCCACCACATCATCCGGCGGTGGTGCCCACAAGCGCGTCTTGGTTCTGGGCGGATCTGGTGGCGTTGGCTCGTTGGCCATACAAATCCTCAAGTCACAAAAAGTACAGGTTCTCGCAACTTGCAGCGAAAATGCCGTTGAAATGGTCCGAAATCTTGGAGCCGATTTCGTAGTAAACTACAACAACGTCGATGAACTAGAAGAGCTGTGCAAGTATGCACCCTACGACATAGTATTGGATTGCGCAGGTCAAGGCGGCCAAAAGGCGGCTGAATCGAAGTTCGACTTTCGGCAGTACATCACATTCTCATCTCCTCTGCTGGCCAACATTGATAAGCAGGGATTGGGATTAGGAGCACTCCAGAATGTGTTCGATCTGGTTCAGACCAATGTGAAAGCTGTCACCCAGCGCGGCGGCCTTGTAAAGTGGGGGTTCTTTAGTCCCGCACCACAAGGTATCCAATTCTTGCAAAAGCTGGTGGAGCAGCGGAAGGTAAACTTTGCTCTTCCGCAGTGTTCTATGAACTAACCTCTTTCCGCCCGTTTTAGCTGATGCCGCTGATTGATAGCAGCTACGAGTTCGGTGATCTCCCAAAGGCCTTTGAGAAGATGAAAGCCGGACACTTGCGGGGCAAGATTGTGGTGAAGGTCTGAGGGTAAATAGGCGACCGACCGACTGAATTGTTGTTTATATTATATTAAAGGCTTGTGTGGGTTCATTTAAATACTACAACACATTACTTTGGGAGACAACGGAACATTGACGCAGTTCGACTGCATCCGCGGTTCAAAGACTGTAATATTACTGACGCATATGAATAAGTTTCTATATAAACTAATCGCCGATCTGCGTGATTAGAAGGCCGGCGTCCGTCAATGATCACCTTTAAGTCACCGTGAAAAGCCGCTTAGCCTCTTATCGTCCATGGATCTGCAGCGTCCCGACTGAAGGGCGAGTGCTCGTCAGGTAGTTGCAGCTCAAGTGATTTAACTCTGGTCAGCATAATGCTAGTCGTGCGCCCATCGTAGAACTATTTTCGGACCAATGTTGACGACGCACGACACACGAAAGCGCTCTGCGAAAATTTCCGTGCGTCTAATTTTATTCCATCGCCTGCCTGACTAGCCAATACCCACATTTCTTATCAGACTTTAAGTGGCTGGCGGGCGATCCCGCAGCACGCTGGCTGCCCGCTTTAATCACTTCGTTCACATGCGTTCACAACGCTCCAGAGCATCGGAACATGACCAGCCTGCTATCACCAAGGTCGAGGCTTTGCAAAAGACCAACAAAAAACCTCTCCATGGCCGCTATCATCCGACATAGCCGGCGAAGAAAGCGGAGAATGCACGCGTCTATGTTTTGTTTTGGTTTTTATTAATAGCTCTCAACTTGTTACCAGGCAAGTGGCTCTTGGTTTGATGGGAATTGCCTAGCTTTTGCTAGTAGGTGTTTAAATACTCTATTGTGTAATATTACCCAGATAGATAAATAGTAACAAGTCTTCTATGATAAGTCCTTTTTTCGTAAATTGGATTTTTTATAAAAATACCCAAAGATTTCTTTTGCTAGAAAAAAAGTTATTCTTAAAATTGCTATACCCAACTAGTATATTTTTTTACTGAGGAAAAGTTTTGACCTCGAAATCCCAGCGCTTATCTGATGTCTGAATGAAATTAGCTATTATTGGGAAAAATTGTCAAGGCAGTAACAAACCTAAGTACTTGAGATATGTGAGCTAGGTAAAAGTGCTTGTGTTTGAGCATAATACGTATGTGTGTCACCGGTTTAGTTGGTGCTAAAGTGTATGTTCTTGATGATACAACAGTTTTAATCGCCCTTACAATTTGTACAATTGCTTTAGGCACGCCATTTACTTTTACGCAATAAAGTCATAGCAAATTGTTGAGGCAGCACCAGGCAAAATAGATTTTTTACCTGACAAAATGAAATAAGGAATGATCTTAACACTGACTCTAACTATTTGTTCATAGAAAATTGGGATATGCTGGTGCTTCTGTCGCAATTTTTGGAAATGTTCGTACTTGATTAAAAGGAAATGGATCATGCATTTATTTTGTCTATCGTATTCATTTGATTTAATTTGGTATTCAAACAATGTGCAATGGAACGAGCTGTCTGGCTTTAAGGTGGTAAAGATCAAGGATGCGTATTGTTTTGGAAATATTTTCAATCCCAGAGGCCTTGACTTGGCCTGGCCTAATGTCATACCCATTGAAATCTATAAGTCTTATACGATCGAAATAAGGTAGTCAGAGAGTCAGTTAGCTATTCCGGAAAGAGCCAGCTTTTAAAATTTCTATAAAGTAATATAACTAAATTTATAATGGATATGAACAAGTCGACATTGCTGCCATATGTGATGGACCTACTCAGTCGGCAGCCGCAATTATGTGAGTTAAATGTATATATGCGACTTTGTTTTGATATACTGATTTTCCTAAATCAGGCACCACCAAGGAGGATTTGATAAAGAGCATCCGGGACATAGTGCTCGAGGAGCACATCGCTCCCTTTGGAAGCCTCAAGCGGGCTGTGGACGCTGCCCTGGAAGTGGGCGTCAATCTGGGCATACTCTCCTTGACCGACGAGCGAGTGCCCTTCAACTTCCGCAGGAAAAAACCCCAGGTAAAGGCCCCCGCTGGAACTTGGATATCGCCGCGTGTTGGACGGATGGCGATCAAGCAGCGGATACCCAAGTATCAGGCAAAGAAGACGGCGGCCAAGCTAAAGCTAAAGCGAAAGAAGCACGCAGGACGAACCGTGGCAGGACAAAAGATAAAAGAAAAGGTCCCTGGAAGGAAGACCAGCAAGGCGGTTAGTGTGAAAATTCGCTGAAGAGTAGCCGAGACCCAGTGAATCGGATCCCATTCAATAAACAGCCGTACTGCGCACCGTATCCGGGGCGTGTTATTGAACCAGACGGGCGGGCTCTCGAGCAACTGGGTTAACTAGGCGATGTCAGCACACTTGGACTAATTACCAGGGCAGGGGCACAGAAAACAATGTTCTGGAAATGCGCTCGTCTCCGCATTTTCTATTTGATTCGCTCGAAGTTAGAGGCGCGTTTAGCATTAAAATGCATTATTCAACGCGGGCAATTAAAAATGCTGTCTTCGGTGGCCACCGATTTCCCTTGTCCCCCTAAACCAAATGTATTTAAGGAATCCGGCGAGGGCAGCCCTTGTTCAGTCTGTCTGCGGAATAAGTCAGATCCATACGCGCCCACCAAAAGGATTATACACTAATAGCAAAAGGACCAGCAGTCGAAGTCCTGGAACGGAATTCAAAAAGGATACGCGATCAGTGAACTCGATTGAAAGCGGTTTCTGCTAAAAAGTGAAAATAAGGATCCTGTTTCGATTAGCATAAAAAAGAAAAATTTACACTCAAAAACGCTGTATTGCTAGGAAAAAATCTTAAAAGAAGTGTGAGTCAAGTTCGAAAAAGTGTTGTGTTGTAACATTGGATATATTTTTTTAATGGAAATTGTAAATACTAAAGTGAATTGAACTTTATCAGGATATCTCAATATTCAAAGGAATTAAATAAACAAATCGTGTGCAAAGTGGCTGCTTATCTTTAATTCAAAGAATTCATTCTCGCACCTAACAAAATGGTGTGATGTTTTAATTAAGTGAAAGAGCTTAGCAAATCGCATTAAGTCAACGATTTGTAAGCATTTATACAATGTTATGAAATCTACGAATATGATTACATTCTGCTTGCAAATATATCTTGTAAAGGATTTTGCATATCGTGTTAAATTTCAACTTAGATCCCTTAGGTCTAAAAATCGAAAATAAAAAAATCCTAAAAGCCTACTTACAATCTAAAAATCCCGAATCAGTGGCTGTTATTGTGGAATCAAATTCAATACAATCTTGAGCAATTCAAAAAATTTGTTTATACAATGCTTAATTTTCTAACACTTGGAATCTGTTTTTGGATAACCTTCGAACCCAAAAAAAAAGTAAAAACATTCAGTGGACTAGTGAGTTCATGGTGTCCATTGTGTGCGCTTTGGCACGCGCCGCATTCGCTGATTTGAGTGTTAGCATAGCATTTGGGGGGAATATTCTATTAACAGCTTATCGGGAACACACGTCCCCTCTTCCAGAACCCCCCATCCCGTCCAGGTGCAGTGCACGCATTCGAGAGCTGGGTGACTATCTCGAGGGTTGGCTTCCGTGACCTGGCAACAGGAATGCCGGCTTCCTCCTCCGATTTCGATTTTTCCGAATAGGCAAATCGTACGATCCCCTCCTGCATGTGGTTTTTGATAGGGAGGGAAAGGTGACTGCTGCTGCAGCGATTCCTTATCAGCACGGCGACAATATTCATTAAATCAAATATTGCGATCAAGTGCTCATTACTCATGAAATGCCGATGAGGCAATTTTATTAGGTAAGCCATATCTGGGCATCTTAGATTAGCACAGCTATATTGAAATCGTTAAAAAATCTATTATTTTGAATAGCACGTTAATTCAATTCCAGAAACCTACACATCGTTATGTTAAGTGCTTGAGATCCAAAATGCTACATACAATTTGGTTCTGTGAATTATTTGGTCCCTCCTGATTTATATCGATTTTTGGAAATGTAGCTTTATGGACTATACAAATAACAAATCGCCGTTCAAGTTATATTATTAAAACTCTAATCATTGTTGTTGTTTATGATGTTTTGGTTTTTTACCCAACATTTGTTTTCCAGAGAATGCCTTAGCAATCTTGTTTACAAAAATTATTGCTGATAACACAAGACGGCTTGAATAGGTTTAAATTGTTTGAAATCCTCTAGAAAAGTAAAGGTTGAATTGGGAAAGACTGATAATGATTTTTAAGAATGTCAATACTATATAAAAATTAAATTCTTTTCCTTAACAGATACTAAAAACCAAGTTTATTTGAATGGGAAGTTTATTTTCTATAAAATGGTGAATTCATCATGTAATCTATTTTGGCACATTAAAAATACTTTTATATTTCTTCTTTTTAACGAAACATTGCCTAGACTTTGTCAAAGTTGGGTCCTCACACAGACTGAGCCGATAAAGGTCCCGAGAATGCCCATCCAAAGAAAATCCCAGACGGAGAAGGAGGCGGGCGAGGATGGAGAAATTGTGATCTCGGGACTTTCCGGAAAATTGCCAGAGAGCAGTAACATCGAGGAGTTCAAATACAATCTTCTGAATGGCATCGACATGGTAACAGATGAGCCCCGTCGATGGGAAGCAGGTTAGTACCAAGTAAAGGCAAGATTCCTAAATAACATACGAATTCCCCTACTGATATCTTTCCACATATAAACATCCAAAAGCCTGAGTTCTGTGACTCACAACATTCGGTCAGAGACCACCCTTTCAAGTTTTCGCGATCTTAGCTCTCCTCAACCCTCTTCATTCCTCGCAATAATTCCCAACTGCTTATGGCGAACCTTGAGTGAAGAATCTCTTAGTTTCTTAGGAGTGTTAATGTCTCGCTCTTCGCTTCAGCTGAGGAGTTTTCGCGGTCTTAGCTCTCCTCAATCCTCTTGAATTTTCGCAATAATTGCCAACTGGTTATGGCGAACCTTGAGTGAAGAATCTCTTAGGAGATTCTTAGGAGTGTTAATGACTCGCTTCGCTTCAGCTGAGGAGTGAAATGAGAAGAGTACATTATCCGAGGCAATTTTTGAAACGGCTGGCTGCATTTGCGGCTGGCCAATAAGAAATACATTTAAACTGGTTTAGATTGGTTGATAAGTCCAGCGTTTTCCCTCTCCCCTCTGAAAAGGCATCTACGGACTGCCGGAGCGCATGGCCAAGATGAAGGACTCCGACCTGGAGAAGTTCGACGACCAGTTCTTCGGCGTGCACCAGAAGCAGGCGGAGCTGATGGACCCCTGCATGCGGATGCTGCTCGAGCTGACCCACGAGGCGATCATCGATGCGGGCATCAATCCCGCCCAGCTGCGCGGCACTCGGACCGGCGTGTACATCGGGCTCTCCTTTGTGGAGACGGAGCACGAGATCCCCAACATGGAGCCGAGCAGCATCAACGGCTACTGCCTGACGGGATGTGCGCGGGCCATGTTCGCCAACCGGATCTCGTACACCTTCGACTTCAAGGGACCGAGCTTCATCGTGGACACCGCCTGCTCCAGTTCGCTGGTGGCCCTGAGCCACGCCTTCGCCGACATGAAGGCCAACCGCTGTGATTACGCCCTGGTGGCGGGGGTGAACCTCATCCTGAAGCCGATCTTCGCCCTCCAGTTCCTGCGGCTGGGCATCGTGAGCCACGACGGCGCCTGCAAGACCTTCGATGCGGCGGCCAACGGGTACGCCCGGGCGGACACCTGCGCCGTGGTGCTGCTCCAGCGGCGGAGGCAGGCCCGCCGGGTCTACGCCAGCATCCTGAACGTGCGCACCAACACGGACGGCTTCAAGGAGCAGGGCGTCACCTTTCCCGACGGCCGCATGCAGCAGGCTCTGCTGGAGGAGACGTACGCGGAGATCGGCCTGAACCCAGACGAGGTGGTCTACGTGGAGGCACACGGCAGCGGCACCCCGGTGGGCGACGACCAGGAGGCCAACATGCTGAGCAACTTCTTCTGCCGGCCAACGCGGTCCAATCCCCTCCTGATTGGCTCCGTCAAGTCCAACATGGGCCACGCGGAACCGGCCTCGGGGGTGAGCGCTCTGGCCAAGATGATCATCGCCATGGAGGAGGGCGTCATTCCGAGGAACCTGCACTACCACACGCCCAATCCCTCGGTTCCGGCTCTGGTCGAGGGTAGACTAAAGGTGGTGGACAGGAACCTTCCCTGGAATGGCGGCATTGTTGGCCTCAACTCCTTTGGCTTTGGCGGAGCCAATGCCCATGTGGTGCTCAAATCCCATGCAAAGAACAAAGTGCCTAGGGATCATTTAAGCTCAACAGAGCAGTCCCTTAAGCTAGTTATCTGTTCTGGTCGAACGGAGGAGGCAGTGCAGCAGTTGCTGAAGGTGGCCACGGAGCAGCGGAACGACCAGGAGCTGCTCACCCTCATTAATGAGATCCACTCGCATCCCATTCCCCTGCATCCCTTCAGGGGCTACGCTGTGTTGGATTCCAAGGGCTCCGTGAAGGAGGAGGTGCTGCCCTTCGAGGAAGAGGAGCGACCTATCTGGTTCGTCTACGCCGGAATGGGCAGTCAGTGGGCCAGCATGGCCAGGGATCTCATGCAGCTGGAGGTCTTTCGAAAGTCCATAGAACATTGCGCCGAGGTGAGTTTTCAAAATAAAGGAAACTTAAAGAAATACCTTATGTTGAAATATGTTTATTAACTTTTCAAACTTAAAATTCTGGGAACTTAAGGAAATCCCTTACCTGTGAACCCCATCCCTTATCCATAACTATTGCCTACTTTAGGGTCTGCCCTTATTCCTTCTCCTTTTTCCATAAAATTCCCAACCAATTCTGGCATATATGTAGTCTAGAGGCGCTTGTTTGGGGTTGAAAAGTCACTCTGGTTTCTCTTCAATTGTCGAATAAATCTTTCGCCTTTTACTAAAGATTTCCGTGGAGAGGAACACTCTAATGAGTCTAAACTGAATTTTTGTTTAGTGCCCAACTGGCGTATGCCTATGGGGCCATTAATAATGCATTTTCAAATTTAAATAAGTAAATTGTTGTCTAGGGTTTATTAAATAACGAGATGAAGGTCTTATCTTTACATAATGAAATTCCTAAGTCCACTTCAGTTTCAATTTTAAAAAAGTTCTTATCGCGAACATTTCACAAACCTTACATTTTTGTTATAGCACATGTTGACTTTTATATTGTGCAGGTTTTGGCGAAAGTGGACTTTGATCTTATAGACGTGCTGACCCGTTCCACGGAAAGCACCTTCGACAACATGCTGTACTCCTTCGTCTCCGTCTCCGCCGTGCAGGTTGCACTGACGGATCTTCTCCGGCTGCTGAACATTCGGCCGGATGGAATCATTGGGCACTCGGCTGGTGAGCTTGGGGCAGCCTACATGGACGGATGTCTCACGGCGGAGCAAACTGTGCTGGCCGCCTACTGGCGAGGCAGAAGTGTTCTGGACACTCCGGACTTGCCACGCGGAAAGATGGCAGCCGTGGGTCTCAGTTGGCAGCAGGTTGGATCGCATATCCCGGAGGATTGCTATCCTGTTTGCCACAACAGCAATGACAACTGCACGGTTTCTGGGCCGCCGGACTCCATGGATACCATGATCCAAAAACTCACTGCGGAGGGAGTCTTTGTGAGGGAAGTGGGGTCCGGAGGATATGCCTTCCACAGTCCATATATCGAAGGAGCAGCTCCCATGTTGCGAAAAAATCTAGAAAGATTAATCACCGATCCCAAGAAAAAGAGTTCGAAGTGGCTGAGCACCAGCGTTGAGGAAACGGAATGGGGATCGGAAAAGAATAAATTTGCATCCGCTGGTTACTTCATACACAACCTGATCTCTCCTGTTTTGTTCCACCAAGCTATTAAGAAAATCCCAGCAAACGCACTGATTGTGGAGATTGCTCCCCATGGACTTTTCCGGGCGATTCTCCGCTCCTTGAGTCCGCAGATCAGCTATGTGAGTCTCATGCAGCGAGGACATGCCAACAACCTTGAGTTCCTTTTGAGCCAACTGGGCAGACTCTTTGCTGCCGGAGGTCAACCCCAAGTGCTAAAGATTTTCCCGCCGATAATCTACCCCGTTTCCCGAGGCACTCCAATGTTGGGTTCCTTGGTGGGTTGGGATCACTCGCAGAAGTGGAACTACCCAAAGTTCGAGGGCGGGCGACAGGCTGGTCAGCTGAGTGTGGAACTAGACCTGGGCAAGGAGGAGAACTCCTTCCTGGCGGGGCACACAATCGATGGAAGGATCCTGTTCCCGGCCACCGGCTACATGACTCTGGCTTGGATGAGCTTCGCCCAGCAGCAGGGGTTGGACTACCTGCGCACTCCTGTGCTCTTCGAGGATGTGGTTTTCCATCGAGCCACGATTCTCGGAGTGGGCACTGTGGTTAAGCTGACCCTCAACTTCTTTCCGGGCAGCAGCTCCTTCGAAATCTGCGAGGGCAGCAGCCTGGTGGCCTCGGGAAAGATCCGTTTGGTATCCAACGTGCAGCAGGAGCGGCTCAAACTTCCATTACTGCCGGGAACTGCTGGATCCCACAAACTCAGCACCAAGGACATATACAAGGAGCTCAGGCTAAGGGGATACGACTACAGTGGAGCTTTTCAGGTGTGTATAAAAAATATATATAAATAAAATATATAATAGAAAAAATTGTTCAATTTACTATCTTTTAACTAACATATAACTTATTTTTATATATTTATATTTATTTATTTTAAGGGTATTTTGGAGTCTGACATTGCAGCGGTGGCAGGTCGCTTGCAGTGGGCTGATAACTGGATCAGTTTCATGGACACCATGTTGCAGTTTCGCATCCTAAGCAACGACATCCGGGAGCTGTATGTGCCCACGGGAATCGAGAGGGCCCTAATCGATCCTGTGAAGCATTTGGAGCTGGCGAAGAAGCACCAACAAAAGCTGACTGTGAACTGGCATCGAAACATATCGGTGGTAAAGTGCGGAGGCGTGGAAATCCACAAAATGAAAACAGCTCAAACTCAGAGAAGAACCGGTGGCCAATCTGCACCCAGTTTGGAGAGGTATCGCTTTTGGCCGTACTTCCAGCACTTGGGACAAAGGGAGGATCAGAAGAAGTCGAGGAACTCGGCTTTGGCAGTTGCCATTCAACTCATTATCGAGAACAGTGGTGGAGCCATGAAACTCAAGGGCGTGGAACTGGCTGGATCGAAAAATAATATGGATAATCTAAGTGCCTTGCAGCTTCTTGAACTCATTGAAAGGGAACCCGTTTTGGTGGGCGATCTTGCAGTGGTCACCACTTCCTCCAGCGACTCTGAGTTGAGTGATCAGCTGAAGGAACACGGCATTAGGGTGATAAACAAGGACATATCAGCTGGAGCGGTGGAGCAGCAGTGTCATTTTGTCTACTCCTTGGATATCCTGGCCAAAAACTCTCTCGAAGATCTTCAGCACTCCTTGGACAGCTTAAAAACTGAGGTTGGATTTCTGCTGCTTGAAGAAACTGCCAGCAGATACAACATTCTTGGAAAGGAGAAGCTGAGTAAACTTCAAATTGTGCCTGTTTTTGAGCAGTTTTTTGGAAGCGATAAAGTTTTGGTCTTGGCCAGAAAACTTCCAAGTGTTAAGACCACTCAAGGCTTGACTCTCCAGCTAAGCAACAGGCAATTTAAATGGGTGAATGAACTTAAGAGTTCATTGGTCAAAGCTCAGACTGAAAAAATAAATCTCTATTTGGTGGCCCAAGGTGAACTCAACTCGGGGGCTTTGGGCTTAATGAATTGCCTTAAGAGAGAAGAAGGAGGAAATTGTCTGCGTCTCTATTTGATCCTCGATGAAGGTCTGCCCCAGTTTTCCCTTTCGGAACCCTTCTACGCCGATCAATTGGCGAAGGACTTGGCCATCAATGTGTACAGAAACGGTCACTGGGGCAGCTATCGGCACCTGAAAATGGAGTCCAAACAGGCTCTGTTGCCCGTGGAGCAAGCATATGTAAATACCTTGATTAAAGGGGATCTCTCCTCACTTCGGTGGATCGAGAGTCCCCGGCTGAATCCAAGTCAAGCGATCTTGGAACCCTGCACCGTTTACTATGCTCCTCTAAATTTCCGAGATGTTATGCTGGCCTCGGGAAAACTGGGAGTAGATGCTCTGCCCGGGGATCTGGCCTACCAGGATTGTGTCCTGGGACTGGAGTTTGCTGGCCGGGATTCACGTGGTCGTCGCATCATGGCCATGGTCACTGCTAAATCCCTAGCCACTAATTGCTTGGCCAACAAAAATCTCCTTTGGGATATCCCCTCGAAGTGGAGCATGGAGGAGGCCTCTACAGTGCCCTGTGTTTATGCCACTGTCTACTACGCTTTGGTGGTCAGGGGTCAGATGAAGAAGGGTGAGAAGATCCTCATCCACGCTGGATCTGGGGGAGTGGGCCAGGCGGCCATCTCCGTGGCTCTTCACCATGGACTGACCGTCTTCACCACAGTGGGCAGCAAAGAAAAACGAGAGTTTCTGCTCAAGAGATTTCCCAAGCTACAAGCTCGTAATATCGGAAATTCCCGGGATACTTCCTTTGAGCAACTGATCATGACCGAAACCCAGGGCAGTGGAGTGGAACTGGTACTCAATTCGCTCTCCGAGGAGAAGCTGCAAGCCTCCGTTCGCTGCCTGGCCCTGAATGGCCGCTTTTTGGAGATCGGAAAGTTCGATTTGAGTAAGAACAGCTCCCTGGGAATGTCCGTGTTCCTTAAGAACACCTCCTTCCACGGAATCCTCCTCGACAGCATAATGGAGGGCGAGGAGGAGATGCAGCTAAATGTGGCGAGGTTGGTAACGGAGGGCATCCGAAGTGGCGCAGTTCAACCGCTTCCCACAACTGTGTTTGCGGAACAGGAGATCGAGAAGGCCTTCCGTTTCATGGCCTCCGGCAAACACATTGGCAAGGTGGTGATCAAAGTTCGTCTGGAGGAGGAGCAGCAGGCAACCCTTCCGCGTCTCCGGCAGATTCAGGCCATTCCGCGATCCTACATGCACCCGGAAAAGAGCTACATCTTGGTGGGTGGGCTGGGAGGATTCGGCTTGGAACTGGCCAATTGGTTGGTCTCCAGAGGATCTCGCTTCCTGGTTCTGAACTCTCGATCGGGCATCAGAAGCGGCTATCAAGCCCTGATGGTTCGTCGTTGGCATGACAGGGGTGTCCAGGTGCAGATCGATACGAATGATGTGACCACTGCGGTGGGCTGCCAAAAACTCCTCGAGGTCAGCAATAAACTAGCCCTGGTTGGGGGTATTTTCAACCTGGCTGCCGTTTTACGAGATGGCTTGATTGAGGATCAGAACGCAAAGAACTTTGAGAAGGCGGCTGCTCCAAAGTTGCTGGCCACTCAGCACCTGGATAGGATCTCCCGGGAGATTTGTCCCGCCTTGGAGTACTTTGTGTGCTTCTCCAGCCTTTCGTGTGGCAGAGGAAACCTTGGGCAGAGCAACTACGGACTGGCCAACTCTGCGATGGAAAGGATCTGCGAGCAGCGACAGGAGTACGGTTACCCGGGCACGGCGATCCAATGGGGAGCCATCGGAGACACTGGGCTGATCATGGAGAACCTGGGGAACAACGAAACCGTGGTGGGTGGCACTCTTCCCCAGCGGATGAACAGCTGTCTCGAGACCATGGACCTCTTCCTGCAGCAACCCCATCCCGTCATGGCGTCCATGGTTTTGGCAGAGAAGAGGGCAATGGAGCAAAGCAACCGGCTGAGTCTTTTGGCCACCATTGCCAACATAATGGGTCTCAAGGACGTGAAGAGCGTCTCCGACAAGACGACCCTCTTCGATCTCGGCATGGATTCGCTGATGAGCACGGAGATCAAACAAACGCTGGAGCGGCACTTCGATCTGGTGCTAAGTGCCCAGGAGATCCGGCAGCTGACCTTCAGTGCCGTGCGGCAGATCGACGCCCAGGAGCCCAGGGAATCGGCGCCCACCAAGTCCATCGCCCGGAAATCCTACTCTAATGGAAAGGCGGAGCACCACGTGGAGGTGCAGCTGCAGAGCGACGAGACGCGCAAGGTATTCGCCAAGGAAGTATTACCCCAGAAGGTGATGGTGCACCTGCGATCGAAGGCGCCCGTTGCCAGCGAGGATCCTGCCGTGTTCTTCCTGGCGCCCATCGAGGGATTCACAATAGCCGTGGAAGCGCTGGCCGCATCCCTGACCTGCCCCGCCTACGGACTGCAGTGCACGGAGCAGGTTCCCTTGGACTCAATCGAATCCTGTGCCGCCTACTATCTCGGCCAGATCCAGAAGATGCAACCCCTGGGTCCCTACCACATCGTGGGTTACTCCTACGGCTGCCTTTTGGCCCACGCCATTGGGGTGGCGTTGGAGCAGAGGCGGTTCGGGGTCAAGGTCATCATGCTGGACGGAGCACCCACCATGGCCAGTGGATACGTCCAGGAGGCCAAGAAGCAAACGGATGACCTCGATCGCCAGCAGTCCATGACTTTGGCCTACTTCGGAGCCCTGCTCGCCGACGTGGACTACAACCAGGTGGGATTTTGGCCTAGAGCGGGGGTTCCTTCAAAATAAATCTCTTTACCTTTCCTTCAGCTACTCCAACTCCTCGATGGAGTCCAGACTTGGCCCTCCAAGCTGGACAAACTGGCCGACACGCTGGCTGATCACACGCAGCAATCAAAAGAAGTGGTAAGCCCTAAGCTATTTAGAAATCTCAAACTAAATAAGTGTTTATACAGATTATAATAAGGTGTCAATCTGCCTTCGTTTATTTGATTAAATACCAGTGAGCATTTTTTAGACTGCTGATCAAGTTAAACATACATAGTAGTAATACTAATAATCAAAGTTGATACACAAATACTTGTACTAAAGGGTGTGTTTTTATTTCATAAGGTAGCTTCCCTGCAGTTCCAAAAGTGGCTTTTCGTCGATGAAATGGACGACGACCCACCGATGACAGGGGAAGCAGCCACTGGTGGCTATCCGATGACAATTCATATAGTCATTTGTATGGGATCGCCGGTTTTGTCATGCATGACGCTCTGGATGACAATTTTGTCCGTTTCATCGAACGAGTCATCGGTGGCTTATACGAATTTTGTATGGAGAAAATTCGTATAAGCCATTGATGATTTCGTTGGTGACGTGGGGGAGACAATTTCATCGATGGCTTTTGGGAGGACACCCTTAGTGAAATCATTAATGTCAATGTCTAAAAATGTCATCCCCAAATTCATATGAAAAACAATATATATATATTTATTTCTTTTTTAATTTTATTAAAATATCTTATTTTATAACATAAGAGATAAGTTGATAAATAATATGAAATTCGAAAGTTTTTGTTTACCATTTATATGTGGTTACAAATTAAAATGGCTTCTGACGAATATTCGCAGGGCAGCGTCTGTTTTGCGTCCGTCTCCCTTGAAATGGTATAAAAAATATTTTTATTATTACATATTATATATGACTTTTATGATTTAAAAGCAAACTTACCTTTCAAACGAATATATCGGACATATGGCTGAATCTTGAAAATATTTAAGAATATTTAAATAGGTTTTTAGTTAAAAAACATACTATTTTTATAATCTTATCGACACTTACATGATTTTTAAACACTCTCCGCTGCCCGTTGCACAAATTAAGTAATTTCACAACCAATCGTCAACGCACTACGCAAAAGAATGACGCAGGTCAATTTCAATTTTCACCCTTTGCTCCGTTTTTTTTCGTTTTAGTATACCCTTCTTTTTTGGGTTATAGCCGACCATAAATAACTCGCGAGTTACATATGTATATTATTTCCATATTTGTAATTAATGTTATGTCATGTGAAACAACAATAAGCATTTTTATTGCCGAAACGAAAAACTTTGCGATTGCAGTGGTTAATTCTTTGCGCTGGTTTTTATTAGTCGAATAGCGAAAATAAGACGAAAGTTGCGGCGATGCGCACGATAAGGAGTTCAGATTTCAACTAAACTTTTAATTTCATAAAATTCTCTTACATGCCTATACCTAAAGTACTGAGCGGGAGTTCGGCGGCCGAATTCGCCTGAGCGAGAAAGCTTTATTAAGCCCCGACCCCCGCTTTACATAAACATAACAAGAGAACTCTCCAAACATGGTTACCTTGGTTCAATAATTTACATAATAATGTATATATAAACTATATTATATATATAAGTTTATATATATTATACCTAATATATGAAGAACTTTAGCATCAAAAGAGTATACATAAGTCGAGCGCCCCTCAGCCATATTTCCCATCGAAACCCAAATTGTTTCTAACGGAGAATGACAACATTGCAATAAAAAACAAGAAAGGAAGCTAGCTTCGGCAAGCCGAAGCTTATATACCCTTGCAGTCATCAAATATGTCGAACAAAACTCATAAAGGCTAGACAACATCGAAGCTAAAACGATTTTTCTATTCATTTTCCATATTTTTGACTATAGATCATATGGGAGCTATACGATATAGTTGTCCGATTTTGATCAAATTTAATTCGTAATTCAAGAGTCGTAAGAAAACTCTATATTCCAAAAATCATACTTGTCTGATGAAAAACAACGATGTTATAATTTTATTTCCATTATTTCTATATAGATTTTTCGATCTTTCCTATGGCAGCTATAAGATATAGATGACCGATTTTTATGAAACTTTTTTCTTAATATAAACGTTGTTAAAAAACTTTATATTCAAAAAATCATGCTCGTGGGATAAAAAACAACGATGTTATCAATTTATTTCCATTAATTCTATATATAATTTTCGATCTCTCCTATGGCAGCTATATGATAGAGTTATCCGATTTTGATCAAATTTAATCCGAAATTCAATAACAGTTAGAAAACGCCATCTTGAAGAATTCAAGTCGATCTGATCAAAAACAACGGAGTAAGAATTTTTTATTTCATTCTCTCGTATGGGAGCTATCCGATATAGTCGGCCGATCCGGCCCGTTCCGACTTATATACTGCGTGCAATAACTACACACATTTTGGGAAAGTTTCAGCGAGATAGCTTTAAAACTGAGAGACTAGTTTAGGCAGAAACGGACAGACGGACAGACGGACAGACGGACAGACGGACAGACGTACAGACGGATTTGGATTCAGATGGTGATGCTGATCAAGAATATATATACTTTATGGGGTCTGAGGTGTCTCCTTCACTGCGTTGCAAACTTCTGGCCAAAATTATAATACCCTTTGCTCTGCAAGGGTATAAAAACGAAGACAAATTTGGAGTCGGGCCGCCGTCGGATGCAAGCAACGATTCGTATTATAAGAGTGAGAAGGAGAGGGAAACTTAGGAATATCCCTTTTCCTTTCCTACACACACGATTGCTTAAATGACACGAGTCACCAGGTGACAGCCAGAACTGCAGGGTTGTGTTAACGGAGGCAAATGCACAAGTGTTTATTTTTATGGCCGGAAAAAATTAGCTAATAATAAAAATGACTGCTTTCAGAAGTTATTGCATATTATGGTACTAATTCTCGGCTATATTTTTGTGTTATTTGAGGCAGAAATTTTTTGATACCAATTTGTATGTTAAAAAAATGTATATAGAAATTATAATGCCAAAATATTTATATTGTTTAATAGATCAAAAAGGCCGCCTGCATGTTTAAACAGAAGCTGTTGCTCTCTGAAAGTTACAAGGGCGCCAAACAACTTCACAGCGATGTGGTTCTGATTAAATCGGCCGAGCACAATGCAATAATGGCCCAGGACTATGGACTCAAAGAGGTAGGGATTTCACGCTTATAAAATAATAGTATCAATAAATATATATTTAAAATATCCCTTAGATTTGCAGTGCCCAGATCGATATGCATGTGGTGAAGGGCACTCATCGGACTTTCCTCAAGGAACCACACACTCTTCAGATCATCGAACAAGTTCTGAGAAAGCGTCCCTAGTGGAAATCACGTAGTTTGTAGACCTATTAATACTATTCTAATGTTTCACCTTATTAATACACGTAGCAATTTCCCTTTGATTGTTTAAGTTAATCGATTTTGAAAATAATTGTAAAAATTAAATGTTTAGTTTTTAATCTAAATAGCTTCATTAATTAATTTAACGATACTAATTTTAAATTTCTGCTGCAGTTTTTCAGATCAAAAAAATTGCATAACTTTAAACCTCTGTAACCCCAATTAGCTAGGGAAAAATTTTATTCCTGTTAGAAATGTTCGCCCGCGATTCGAATTTTAATCGCAAATTAGACTCGCGTGGCACTCGCATGATTTTCGCGATGAATCACATTCTGACCCGTGCTGGCTGGCTTTATTGACCCGCTAAAACAGACTTCGGCGCGGCGTACCTTTCCATAATTGATAATATAACGACTCCCACTCTATCGCGCCCGTGATCTCGCCAGACGATTAATAATCGGCGCAAAAGTGGTCCGACTTTGGCGGGCAAATCAAAATTTGTACATCTCCGTCACGCACACAACAGCTGACCACTTATCGCTGTTAATGCGAATTTAAGCGCCGCACGGAGTCCAGCAACAATAACAGAGGTTTACGCCGCTAGCCAGAGAGAATAACAGTAGCAATATTAGTAAGAATACAGCCGAAGCTTAACTACCCTTAAAAAAAGTAATTGAACACCTCTGAATGTAGACATTGTAAACTTAAAAAAAACCTTATCGACAACGACTAAAACAGCGGTCAAGATCTGTGGTACCCTCTGCAAGGGCATCCGAACAGCGCTCTCAAGGGTTGACGTTTCCAGAGAGCCAACAGAAAGCTCTCATCCACAGCCTCAGCCTCTGCCGCTGCCGGCGTCGACGTCGCGCTGGCGGGCGTCATATAAAAGCAGGCGCTCACCTGATTCTCGCATTTCCGTTCGTCGACTTGCGTCGTGTTTTACTGAAAACCGCAGCGTTTGAAATTTCGAATAAATCAACCGTGTGTGGAAAACTGTTAGCTAAATAACAGTAAAACGGAGAACTTTGTGCCGAAAGCAAAGTGCCCAAAAGTTTCTGGAACTCGAGTGTTTAACAGTGGCTGTAACGGTTTCCCCAGGCAGTAAGGACCAACTGTAAAGGAACCTCCACCACACCCGCTCCACTCCACAAACTCGTAAAACAGCTGTCGAGGAATCGCCTGATTTCTAGGTATGTACAAAAAATGGCAGCCGCAGGAATAAAACAGCCGCCCTTAAAAGCTGTGTGTGTGTTTGTGAAAGAGAAAATGAAAACGAAATTTTCTGGATAAAAAAAGTGAACCGCTAAGAGAAAAGTACAGAAAAATAAAAGAAAAAGTGTGAAAAAAATATAAAAAAATGGTTAGATCAAGAGTTCCCAAGTGATCCCATAGTTTTATTCGCCAAGTCAGCTAAAAATACGAATTACTGAATCTCGCCTTTGCTCAGCTTGCACTTGGCTTTCAGTTCTCTTGACCTTTAGGACCCTTGGGTTTCGACCAGCCCGAAAGTGTTGTTTCATACGCCCCCAAAAACAGCAGTTCCTGCTTCGAGACGGCAAATTACAGCCTCTAATTGCAAAAGACTGAGACGGATAGGGTCAAAACCCCAGTCTCCCGTCTGGCAAGCCAAGGAGTGTTTTTTAAAGGGCTTCTCGATAGGGTTTCGCCCTCTAATTGTCACTGAGAAGCAGCAAAAGTTTGATTTGATTTGAGCAAACCAAAAATTAATAATGCAAGGGAACGTCGTGGCAAATATATTGATTGATATGGTGTTAAAGTTTTAATTGGCATGTTCTTATAAGCTATATAAACCCCGCTTGCATTTTTGAAATTGTTCTCAACTTATGAGTGCAATTTTCAAGTCACTAAACATTTTGAAATGATAAATTCAGCAAATTAGTGTAGGCCAAATAAAGCATTTCCTGGTTGCGTGTCCCAATTTCATTATTTTACAACCATGCTAACTAAACAACCATTAAGAAATTTCCTCGAAATTAAATTTTAAATTGCTCTTAATATGAAAGTATGGCAGTACGAACGTCATAAACCATTTATCTACAGCTACTGATGTAAACAAACACTTCAAACTTCTATATAAAATAAATGGCTGCGAAATATTAAAATAAAAGAAAACTAAAAATTCAGAACAAACTTTTGCCAAATTTCGCAACCTATTTTATTCTCAGAATCTGGTTATTTCCATTTAACAAATTCTTTAATAGCTGAAAGCTTGCTATCAGACACCGATCGCTTTGCATAAAAAGCAACTCACCCAAAGCACCCATAAAAACAAAAACACTCCTAGCAAAAACAAAAAACAAACAAAAGTCGTGCGATTGTGTGATTGGAAAATTTCGAGTGTCTGGCTAATCTTTATCGGCGAATAATGTCGCGCTTCCTGAAGAACACGCGTCCATCGGCGATCAAACATTTCCGATTCAGGTGCACGGTCGTATGAGTTGGCAGTGCCTTATCGCTCTTATCAGCGGTTTTGGAATCACCCCACAGTATTATCGCATCATCCATGAACTTGAAGCGTCACAAAAGTTTGGATATGGGTGGGGGAGTAGGGAACTGGGTACTTGAGGACCCAATCGATTACTGTGAAAATAGAACCGAGTGCATAAATAAACAGTGTGTTGAGTGCCCTGTGAAAATAAGGGAGGGGTATTGATGTTTGCCTCATTGTTTACCTATCCAATGACGCAACTTTTGCAATATGGCCTGATGATGGATTGGATCGACCGATATTGGGGGGTATCGATAAATCAATACCAGCCCCATTTAATTACTAGATTGCTAGACGAAGGTTTGGTCCGATTACATGTTAATCCAGAGACAGAGATCGAGCCTAGGAATAGGAATAGTCCCCGGGCAACCGAAACTATGAAAATAATACTTCAATGAACTTGAGAATCACGCCACCTTATCTCACCAAACAAATGGTACACGCGTCGTGCTCGTGTGTATGTATGTGTTTCGGTGGGGACTAATGGGGCTATACTATACATACATATGTACACATGTCTGCGGGCTGGCGTGCAAATTCGCCTCTCTCTTTTGCCCACATCCCACCTCCGATTACAATAGCAAAACATAAACATAGAATCCAGACGCTAGACCGTCTTGTCGAGCCAACGGCCTTTTGATAGATAGATAAGCTCGCTGAGTCGGCCGATTTTACCGGCAGTTCACAGGTACACATGGGGAAAAAATGGTTTGTTTTTTCTCTTTAATTTGGTGTGTACAATTCAATGAGGAATTTTTGAGTGTAAAATTTTACAAACAAATTTGTTTCTTATAAATAACAAATTCGTGAATCACATTTAAGATTTTCTAGAGTCACAAATGTGTTTTTGTTTTATAAAATGATTAACACTATGTCAGCACTTTTGATTTTATCGGCATAATAAAGTTTGTGCATATTAACTACCAAGCTTGCCGTCTTTTCACAGTGTATTGCTTTGTTGCTGACCGCTCTTGTTCTGGCTCTTCTTCTTCTAATGACGCTTTCGGCTTCCCTAGTTTTTTAGCTTTAACCGACTTCATCAACTTTACTCATTTCATTTCCCTTCTTTTGTTGAATCATTTCGCACATCGTACGAGTTTCTCGGCGAATAAGAAAGCAGCTTGCTTTTTAGTGAGAGTGAGTGTGTGCCTATGTTAACATTATCCATGTTGCACTGTTAACAATGCTGCCACAAGTTGCTGTTAACGGCGAGCGGTCTTCATTTGGTCACGGCTCAAAAGAAGAAAGCCGCCCATAACAAAAATTAAGTGCGCCGGCATAAAAGCTTCGCCGGCATCACATCACCTGATTTGCAATTTGTATACCAACTTTCCACCAGCTGAACGTTTGAGCAGAAAAAAATATACACCACCCGGCATCTCGCGCTCCAGAGAGCGAAAAGCTCTGCGATTGCGGGTGGAAAAAAGCTATATGTTAACTTAACAGCGGGGGCTGATTGAAAAGTTTTAAAATATGTTGTAAAAGATGTGTGTGAGAAAACTTATCTAGCAAATGCTCAAAAAATATTTACAAAAAAAGACATACAAAAAGAAAATTATTTTTAACTTTAATATATGTTATAATAATTATATATTATAATTAACCATAAATCGATGTATTTTTTTTTTAATTTGTACAGCCCCTAAAAATAAATCTGTTGCAAGCCGTGGACCAGCCGCATCCTGTTGCCTTCAAGCCCAACAATTGCAGCACCCATCCGCCCCACCATTCCCCCAGCACCCAGAACAACGGCAAGAGCGCTCGTGCTAACCGCCGTCGACGTCGCAGACGCAACAAGCAACAGCAGAATTCGCAGCAGCCTGACGCTTTCCGGGATCCGGACGCACAGCTAACACCGAGCACCTCCTCGTCCACCCCGCACTCGGCACCTAACGACCGACAGGACCACCTAGACGCGCACTTTCACTCCAACTCGCATTCCCAAATCGACAAGATGCCCGCCCGATTCGCCGAGGAAGTCATCACCGCTGAGCCCGCACAGCGTGCCGCCCCCCAATTGGACCTGGGTGGTGGTCACTACGTGCCCCGCCAGCAGCACCTCAACGACGAGATCGCCATCTCCGGGTTCTCCGGCCGTCTGCCGGAGAGCTCCACCATCGAGGAATTCAAGCAGAACCTCTTCGATGGCGTCGACATGGTCAACGACGATCCCCGCCGCTGGGAGCGAGGTGAGTTTGAATTCTTCTTGTGTTTTAGATTTAAGGGGGGTAGGTTTTAAAGGCTAAAAAAAAGGCATATATTCGTTTTTTTTTTGCGGCGAAATGAGTATTTTTATTTTGTTGAGCTTAATAACATGTTATTGTTCAACTTTTGAAGAGTATTAGAAAAAAAAAATTATTGAAAAATATTTTGAAATAAGCCGGTAAGCCCAAGGTAATCAGGAAATTTTTTTTAAATATTTTTTATACCCTTGCAGAAGAAAAGGTATTATAATTTCTGTCAGAAGTTTGCTACGCAGTAAGGAGACACCTCAGAACCCATAAAGTATACATATATGTTCTTGATCAGCATCACGATCAGAATCCAAATACGTCTGTCTGTCTGTTCGTCTGTCCTCCTGTTGGTTTCTATGTAAACTAGTCTCTCAGTTTTAAAGCTATCGTTGTTTTTGGAATATAGAGTTTTCTAAGCCTCATGCACGGAGAGTTTTTTGCCGAAGAGGCTTACCATTAATTGTACCATGAGCCGATCTGGTCAGTCGTTCCCGAATCTCAAGGCGTGTGGTTGTCAAAAATGAGCGGAAGAATTGCCAAAGATTCTGAAAGTGGTGGAGATAAGGAGCAAACGAGTGATAAGGAAAAAGCTTTATCAAAAAGAAAAATTGAGTCCGAATCTTGTGAAGGTGTTCCGGAAACAAAGCGGCGCGAAATCACAGTCAAAAACGCTTCGGTTCCGAAAATACCCGAAATCTTTTTACTGAACACCTACTGCTGGGAAAGAGTTTTATCATATTTGAGCGTGGGTGACCAACTGAGTCTGGCTGCATCAAGTCCGCATCTTAAATCACTTTTTGAAACTTTATGTCGGAAATACAAACGAATTACGGAAAGAGTCACTTTGCATTTAACCGAAATCGAGCTCTGTCAATTGCTGGAAATCGTAAATGAGAATGTGATTAGCTATGAGACATGGCGGAGTCCTTTTTTGCCTTTGCGGCATTTGCGGACCTTTTGTCCACGTTTGCAACACTTGCAAATGACTATTGAACGGCCGAGATGGTATCATCTGTTGCAGTTGAAGAGTCTTACATCCCTGAATGTCGCTCTTAAATTCTCGAGTGCAGAGAAGATCAGGAATTTTGTTCTTAGCCTAGTGGAACTGCCTTGCCTCCGGAAACTGAACATTGAGACAACAAACTATAGTGGAGATGGTCTGCATGTGCTGGAGAATTTAGAAACCCTCGTGATTCGTACTTCTCCAGGAATAAATGCCGAGTATTTGGCCACGGCCTGCCTGAAAATGAAACAGCTCCGCCACCTAGATATTGATCAATTGATTGATACACCCACCGCGGAACACTTTAGGGTAATTGTGGAAAACTGTCGCTACCTAGAGTGTTTATTCTTGGCCAAAATAGATATGCCTGAAAATTTGCCCTACGAAATCGTGTGTCAGTTGCCCAAATTGAAGCACTTGCAAATTTGTCACTCTGGCTTTCTGAGGGAAGGTTTCATCGAGGGACTAATCCACAAAAAGGGCACTCCGCTGGAAAGCCTCTTTTTGTCGGAAAGCTTCTTGTATGCCGAAAAGGTGGAGCAACTCGGCGAGATTTCCTCGCTAAGGGAACTTTCCATCCGCTGCTATAGTGTTCCCTTGAGTGGCCTGCTTAAACTAAGAAACTTGGAAATTCTCAACCTAATTACCAATGAAATTACGAACCACCAACTGTTGACGATCCTCGAAGGCTGCCCGCTAATCAGAGTGGTCGGTCTGCATGCTGATAAATTGATCAACTCAGATTTTGTTCGAGATGCAACTCGATTGTTTGGATGCCGAAAAATCGAAATCGGTCTATTTGGTCGATTTCTTACTTTCAACTTAATAGAAACTTTAAATGAAAATAGGTTTATTAAATTCAATTGGTATTCAATACTAAGGCCTATCTTGATTAAAAATTAATTGAGCATTACTTATTGAGTAGCTTTGAAGTTATTTCTAAGAAATCAGCAAAAAGCCAAATAAATCCCCATTATTAAACGACACAATATTTACGACTTTTACTTTAAACGCCTAGAAAACACACAGAAATCTTTTTTGTATTTGCAAATGCCCGAAACTGGAAAAAACTTTTCCTGAATACCTGCGTATTTATGTATAAACTAATCTGTAATACTCCCAACGCCAGGTCTCTACGGACTGCCGGACAGGATTGGCAAGATCAAGGAGGCCGATCTGGAGAACTTCGACCAGCAGTTCTTCGGCGTGCACCAAAAGCAGGCTGAGTGCATGGACCCCCTGCTGCGCATGCTGCTCGAGCTGACCCACGAGGCGATCATCGACGCCGGTCTGAACCCCACCGACCTGCGTGGATCCCGCACTGGTGTCTACATTGGAGTGTCCAACTCGGAGACGGAGCAACACTGGTGCAGCGATCCGGACCGCGTTAACGGCTATGGCTTGACGGGATGTGCTCGTGCCATGTTCGCCAACCGCATCTCCTTCACCTTCGACTTCAAGGGACCCAGCTACAGCATCGACACCGCGTGCTCCAGCTCCCTGTACGCCTTGGAGCAGGCCTTCTCCGACATGCGCGAGGGAAAGGTCGACAACGCCCTGGTCGCCGGAGCGGGCCTGATCCTCAAGCCCACCATGTCGCTGCAGTTCAAGCGACTGAACATGCTGAGTCCGGACGGCAGCTGCAAGGCCTTCGATGAGTCCGGCAACGGATACGTGCGCTCCGACGGCTGCGTGGTGCTCCTGCTGCAGCGCACCTCGGCCGCCCGGCGCGTGTACGCCTCCATCCTGAACGTGCGCACCAACACGGACGGCTTCAAGGAGCAGGGCATCACGTACCCCATCGGCAAGATGCAGAACCGCCTGATCCGCGAGACCTACGAGGAGATCGGCCTCAACCCCGCCGACGTGGTCTACGTGGAGGCCCACGGCACCGGCACCAAGGTGGGCGATCCCCAGGAGGTCAACTCCATCACGGACTTCTTCTGCAAGAACCGCACCAGCCCGCTGCTGATCGGCTCGGTCAAGTCCAACATGGGACACTCGGAGCCCGCCTCGGGCGTCTGCTCGGTGGCCAAGATCCTGATCGCCATGGAGGAGGGCGTGATCCCCGGCAACCTGCACTACAACAAGCCCAACCCGGACCTCTACGGCCTGGTCGATGGCCGCCTCAAGGTGGTGGACAAGAACCTGCCCTGGAACGGCGGCATCATCGGCCTGAACTCCTTCGGCTTCGGAGGAGCCAACGCCCACGTGATCCTCAAGTCGAACCCCAAGCCCAAGGCGCTGACGCCCAAGGACGGCGCCGCCAAGGTGGTGCTCGCCTCCGGCCGCACCTTCGAGGCCGTGGAGCAGCTGCTCGAGTCGGCCGCCACGCACGCCGAGGACGACGAGTACCTGCAGCTGATCAACGACATCCACTCGAAGCCCATTGCGAACCACTTCTTCCGCGGCTTCGGCGTGGTCAGCAGCAAGGGCACCCACCAGCGCGAGGTGATCGAGTGCTCGGAGGAGAAGCGCCCGGTGTGGTACATCTACTCCGGCATGGGCAGCCAGTGGGCCAGCATGGCCAAGGACCTGATGCAGATCGAGGCCTTCGCCAAGAGCATCCAGCGCTGCGCCGACGTGCTGAAGCCCGAGGGCGTCGACCTGATCGACGTGCTCACCCGCTCCACGGACAAGAGCTTCGAGAACATCCTCAACTCGTTCATCTCGATCGCCGCCATGCAGGTGGCCCTCACCGACCTGCTCAGCTCGCTGGGCATCCACCCCGACGGCATCGTGGGCCACTCGGTGGGCGAGCTGGGCTGCGCCTACGCCGACGGCTGCTTCACCCCCGAGCAGACCGTGCTGGCCGCCTACTGGCGCGGCAAGAGCATCCTGGACACCCAGCTGGCCAAGGGCAAGATGGCCGCCGTGGGCCTCAGCTGGGAGGAGGCGCACAGCCGCGTGCCGGCCGACTGCTTCCCGGTGTGCCACAACAGCGAGGACAACTGCACCATCTCCGGACCCGAGGCCTCCATCGAGGCGCTGGTCGCCAAGCTGAACGCCGAGGGCGTCTTCGCCAAGGCGGTCAACTCCTCCGGCTACGCCTTCCACAGCAAGTACATCGCCGAGGCGGGGCCAAAGCTGCGCAAGAGCCTGGAGAAGATCATCCCGAACGCCAAGAACCGCACCTCCCGCTGGATCAGCACCAGCATCCCGGAGTCCGCCTGGAACACCCCGGTGGCCAAGCAGTCCTCGGCCGCCTACCACGTGAACAACCTCCTGTCGCCGGTGCTCTTCCACGAGGCCCTCCAGCACGTGCCCAAGAACGCCATCTCCGTGGAGATCGCGCCCCACGGCCTGCTGCAGGCCATCCTTAAGCGCGCCCTCGGCCCGGACGCCACCAACCTGAGCCTGGTGAAGCGCGGCCACGAGAACAACGTCGAGTTCCTGCTGACCAACGTGGGTAAGCTGTACGCCGCCGGCGCCCAGCCGCAGGTCCTGAACCTGGTGCGTCCCATCAGCTACCCGGTGGGTCGCGGCACCCCCATGCTGAACTCCAAGGTGGGCTGGGACCACACCCAGAAGTGGCTGGTGGCCAAGTTCGGCAAGGAGACCTCCTCCGGCGAGACCATCGTGGAGGTGGACCTCTCCAAGGAGGAGGACGCCTTCCTCGCCGGCCACACCATCGACGGCAGGATCCTGTTCCCGGCCACCGGCTACATGACCCTCGCCTGGCAGACCTTCGCCAAGATGCAGGGCAGCGAGTTCCACAAGACGCCCGTCGTGATGGAGAACCTGGTCTTCCACCGGGCCACCATCCTGAACAAGAACGCCGTGGTGAAGTTCGGCATCAACTTCTTCGACGGCACCGGCGCCTTCGAGATCTGCGAGAGCGGCAGCCTGGCCGTTTCCGGCAAGATCACCATTCCCGAGTCCATCGACAATGAGGAGCTGCCTCTGGAGGCGCAGACGCCCAGCGCCGTGGCCAAGGAGCTGGTCACCAACGACGTGTACAAGGAGCTGCGCCTGCGCGGCTACGACTACGCCGGAATCTTCCGCGGCATCGTGCGCTCCGACACGGTGGCCTCCACGGGCCAGCTGCAGTGGGTGGACAACTGGATCAGCTTCATGGACACCATGCTGCAGTTCAGCATCCTGAGCAAGAACCTGCGTGAGCTCTACCTGCCCACCCGCATCGAGCGCGCGGTGATCAATCCCGCCAAGCACTTCGAGCTGCTGGCCGCCCTCTCCAAGGAGCAGCAGCTGGAGACCGGGGTGCCCGTGCAGTGGTACAGCGACATCAACGTGATCAAGAGCGGCGGCGTGGAGCTGCGCGGCCTGAAGGCCAATCTCGCCCAGCGTCGTCCCGGCACCCAGGCGCCTCCCACCCTGGAGCGCTACCAGTTCGTGCCGAACCTCAACAGCACCGATCTGCACGAGAACTCGGAGAAGGCGCGCCTGCACGCCCTGGACGTGGCCATCCAGGTGATCATCGAGAACTCCAGCGGCGCCGTAAAGCTGAAGGGCGTGGAGCTGGCCAACGGACGCAACCCCGACGTGCTGGTGGCCAACCGCCTGCTGCAGATCATCGAGGGCGAGCCCGTTCTCACCGGGGATGTGGCCGTGGCCACGTCGAATGGCAACGAGGAGACCATCGCCGCCGCTCTCGGGGATTCGGGAGTGCGCGTCCTGACCAAGGACGTGCTGAAGGAGCCGGTTGAGCAGAACTGTCACTTCGTCTTCGGCATCGATGTGCTCTCCCGTCCGGACACGAAGACCTTGGAGAACTCCGTGGCCAGCCTCAAGGAGGCTGGCTTCCTGATCCTCGAGGAGACCCTGGCCACCTACACCAAGACTGGACGCGCTCTCCTCGCCAAGTTCGGCTTCGTGGCCGTGCAAGAGCAGAGCCTGGGAGCCACTCGCGTCCTGGTGCTCGCCCGCAAGGCGGTGGACCTGAAGAGCCGCAAGTCCGTGGTGGTCGTGGCCACCGAGCAGAACTTCAACTGGGTGGACGACCTGAAGGCCGCCCTGGCCACCGCCAACACGGAGGAGCAGTACGTGTACGTGGTCTGCCAGGGAGAGGAGCTCTTCGGCGCCGTGGGCCTGATGACCTGCATCAAGAACGAGAACGGCGGCAAGCTGGCCCGCCTGGTCTTCGTGCAGGACGCCAAGGCCGAGAAGTTCTCGCTGACCTCCGCTCTGTACCGCCAGCAGCTGGAGAAGGACCTCATCTCGAACGTGCTCAAGAACGGAGCGTGGGGCACCTTCCGCCACCTGAAGCTGGAGACCCAGCAGGCCACCCTCCAGGTGGAGCACGCCTACGTGAACGCCCTGGTCAAGGGAGACCTCGCCTCGCTCAAGTGGATCGAGGCCGCCCAGGCGGACACCGCTGTCTCCGCGGACAAGAACCTGGAGACCTGCACCGTCTACTACGCGCCCATCAACTTCCGCGACGTGATGCTGACCTCCGGCAAGCTGGCCGCCGACGCCCTGCCCGGAGACCTGGCCGAGCAGGACTGCGTGCTCGGCCTGGAGTTCGCCGGACGGGACTCGCAGGGCCGCCGCGTGATGGCCATGGTGCCGGCCAAGTCGCTGGCCACCACCTGCGTGGCCAGCAAGCGCATGATGTGGCAGATCCCCGAGAAGTGGACCATGGAGGAGGCCTCCACGGTGCCGTGCGTCTACTCCACCGTCTACTACGCGTTGGTGGTGCGTGGCCAGATGAAGAAGGGCGAGAAGATCCTCATCCACGCCGGCTCCGGGGGGAGTGGGCCAGGCGGCCATCTCCGTGGCGCTCGCCCACGGACTGACCGTCTTCACCACGGTGGGCAGCAAGGAGAAGCGCGAGTTCCTGCTGAAGAGGTTCCCCAAGCTGCAGGAGCGCAACATCGGCAACTCCCGCGACACCTCCTTCGAGCAGCTGGTGCTGCGCGAGACCAAGGGACGCGGCGTGGACCTGGTGCTCAACTCGCTCTCCGAGGAGAAGCTGCAGGCCTCGATCCGCTGCCTGGGATTAAACGGCCGCTTCCTGGAGATCGGCAAGTTCGACCTGAGCAACAACAGCCCGCTGGGCATGTCGGTGTTCCTCAAGAACACCTCCTTCCACGGCATTTTGCTGGACAGCGTGATGGAGGGCGAGGAGGAGATGCAGAACCAGGTGGTCTCCCTGGTGGCCGAAGGCATCAAGAGCGGCGCCGTGGTGCCGCTGCCCACGTCCGTCTTCAACGACCAGCAGGTGGAGCAGGCCTTCCGCTTCATGGCCTCCGGCAAGCACATCGGCAAGGTGGTGATCAAGGTGCGCGACGAGGAGGCGGGCAAGAAGGCGCTGCAGCCCAAGGCGCGCCTGATCAACGCCATCCCGCGCACCTACATGCACCCGGAGAAGAGCTACATCCTGGTCGGTGGCCTGGGAGGCTTCGGCCTCGAGCTGACCAACTGGCTGGTGACCCGCGGAGCCCGCTTCATCGTGCTGACCTCGCGGTCGGGCGTGAAGACCGGCTACCAGGGCCTGATGATCCGCCGCTGGCAGGAGCGCGGCGTCAAGGTGGTGATCGATACCAGCGACGTGACCACCGCCGCCGGAGCCAAGAAGCTGCTGGAGAACAGCAACAAGCTGGCCCTGGTCGGAGGCATCTTTAACCTGGCCGCCGTGCTGCGGGACGCCCTCATCGAGGACCAGACCGCCAAGGACTTCAAGACGGTCGCCGATCCCAAGGTGACCGCTACTAAGCATCTGGACCAGTACTCGCGCGCCATCTGCACCGAGCTGGACTACTTCATCTGCTTCTCGAGTGTGTCCTGCGGCCGCGGCAACATCGGACAGACCAACTACGGCCTGGCCAACTCCGCGATGGAGCGCATCTGCGAGCAGCGGCAGGCGAGCGGCTTCCCGGGCACGGCCATCCAGTGGGGCGCCATCGGCGACACCGGCCTGGTGCTGGAGAACCTGGGCGACAACGACACCGTGATCGGAGGAACCCTGCCCCAGAGGATGCCCTCGTGCCTGCAGACCATCGACCTGTTCCTGCAGCAGCCGCACCCCGTCGTGGCCTCCATGGTGGTGGCCGAGAAGCGCAAGTCCGACCAGTCGGCCGGCGTCAGCCTGATCGCCACCATCGCCAACATCCTGGGCCTGCGGGACACCAAGAACATCCAGGACGGCGCCTCGCTGGCCGATCTCGGCATGGACTCGCTGATGAGCGCGGAGATCAAGCAGACGCTGGAGCGCAACTTCGACATTGTGCTGTCCGCCGCCGAGATCCGTCAGCTCACCTTCGGAGCACTGAAGGCCATGGACGGTGGCGCCGAGGCCAAGCCAGCTGCGGCTGCTCCCGCCGCGGCGGCAGGCACTGCTGCTGCCGAGTCCGCCATCACTTCGGGTGCATCCTCGCGCACTGCCAGTCCGCTGGGCGATGGCACCCAGGTGGTGTTCACCACCTCGCTGATTCCCACCGAGGCGATCGTCCGCCTGGAGACCAAGGCGCCTGCGAGCAGCAAGCAGAGCCCGATCTTCTTCATCGCCCCCATCGAAGGCTTCGCCTCCGCGCTGGAGCCGCTGGCCAAGCGACTGGAGGTGCCCGCCTACGGACTGCAGTTCACGGAGGACGTGCCCTCCGACTCCCTGGAGGCGGCGGCCAAGTTCTTCATCAAGCAGCTGCGCACCGTGCAGCCAAAGGGGCCGTACAAGCTGGCCGGCTACTCCTTCGGCTGCCTGCTCACCTACGTGATGGCCGGCATCCTGGAGCAGAGCAACGAGGTGGCCAACGTGATCATGCTGGACGGAGCGCCGACCTACGTGAACTGGTACACCAGCAGCTTCAAGCAGCGCTACACGGACGGAAGCAACGCCGACAACGACAACCAGAGCTACGGCCTGGCCTACTTCGGCATTGTCCTGGCCAACATTGACTACAAGGCGGTAAGTGTGAAGGATTTACTTGCTGGTGTAATGTAAATTCCTAATCCCGAATTCACTATCCACAGCTGGTGCGACTGCTACTGGTGATCCCCACTTGGGAGGAGAAACTCGAGAGGTTCGCCGAGCTGATGAGCAATGAGATCACACAGCCCGTGGAAACGGTAAGAGCGAAGAGTAACCTATGGATAACTTAAGTACTTACCAAATGTCTTAACTTGCAGATCAAAAAATCCGCCACTCTGTTCTACAAGAAACTGGAGCTGGCCGATGGCTACCTGCCCACTCTGAAGCTGAAGTCGAGCGTGACCCTGGTCAAGCCCACAGACAACTCTGCCAAGCTGGACGAGGACTACCGCCTCAAGGAGGTGGGTTAACCAGCTCTGGAAGTGAACCAACCAAATGCTAAATATTCCCTTTCCTTTGTAGGTCTGCACAAAGCCCGTGGAGGTTCACACCGTTGAGGGCAACCACCGCACCTTCCTCATCGAGGATCAGTCCCTGAAGACCATCCAGAGCATACTGAAGCGTCTGTTCAACTAGGCTAGGAGCGGATTAGCATAGGAGTTGTGGATGATCATCACCCCTCACCGCCACCTTCAGCCACATCCAATACTCGGAACACACATCGACACACCCAGTTAGCCAGTTAGCATACTTAGTGAAAGAATTTACGTTGTTGAGCCGCAAGGAATCGCTCGCTCTACCCCAGTTACGCACAGCTAGAAGAGATAGGATCGGATTGGAGTGGATCGATCGCCTGGGATCTGCCTAACTGCCGTCTTGCAGCGCCGTAGACTTTGGTCCAAAATTTAGCCTACGGCCGCTACGATTCCGGGCAGTTGAAAGGATCCAGGATGCGAGTCGCCCAACCCTTCACACTTAACGCTTTGTGCACCGTACAGTTCAGTAGTTCAGTACAGTACCCGACATTCCTTGAGCGCTAGACGGCACTAGACGTCCCAACTTACCAAATATATCTTTTATGCTCTATCTATTACGTAATACGTATGTCGCACACCCTAGTTTAATTGCCTAGTTGTAAGCCTACAGTCTGTAGTCGCGCATGTAATGAATTTCATTCCTCGAACTAACCCAAGAAAAGAAACTGCTAAATTTGTTATCTCTCTTGATGTATAAAATAATCGCAAACGATCACTCATGAATATTGTGGATATTAAATTACACCATACTAAAAAATAATCAAGAAAAATTATGTTTAATTTCTAGTCAAGATCATGTAGCTGAAAATGAGTTGTTATTGTTTTCATACATTTTTTTTGCATGGTGCCAGCGAAAACCAGCCAATTTGCTGCCGTACCGATTTCAGACACCAGGCAAACATAACCGCTTAGCAGGTGTAAATCGATCAGCTGATCAGTCTAAACTAAGCTTCTTTAGTGTTGAGCGCGTGAAACGTTTTTCTTGTAACACCAACAACAACCACATGGAAAATGATTAATTACTCGTGCGCGGCGTGCCACTTTCGTGACACGCACAAAGAATCAACGTGGTTTCGCATCTCTGGTCGGATGTTTACTTTGAAGCAACGGTATCTTCCAGCGAGTTGGCTTTCTGATTGGTTGGAGCAGGGAGGGGAAACGTGCCAAGGACAGCTGTTTCAGACAAGAACCGTTATTTAAGTACATTAAAAATTACCACCTGCAACCTGCTATGCGTTATGTTGGCCTGGTGAATTGCAAACACCAGGCCACCAGAACCGCTAAGAAGGTGCAAAACGATCAGCTGATCAACGCTTGGTGCTGCTTTAAAGTAACGGTAGCTTCCAGCGAGATGGCTTTCTGATTGGTTGGAGCAGGGAGGGGAAACGTGCCAAGGACAGCTGTTTCAGACAAGAACCGTTATTTAAGTACATTTAAAATTACCACCTGCAACCTGCTATGCGTTATGTTGGCCTGGTGTCTCAAATCGATTTGGGAAGCAAAATCGACTGTTTTAGGACGCCAAATACCAGGAAAACATAAAATCGGAGTAGGTCGATGCGCACCAGCGCTCTTGTGTGTGAAAACAACAACACTTTCCACAAGCAAATTGCGACGAACTGAATTGCAAACACCAGGCCAACAGAACCGGTAAGAAGGTGCAAAACGATCAGCTGATCAACGCTTGATGCTGCTTTAAAGTAACGGTAGCTTCCAGCGAGTTGGCTTTCTGATTGGTTGGAGCAGGGAGGGGAAACGTGCTAAGGACAGCTGTTTAGGACAAGAACCGTTATTTAAGTACATTAAAAATTACCACCTGCAACCTGCTATGCGTTATGTTGGCCTGGTGAATTGCAAACACCAGGCCACCAGAACCGCTAAGAAGGTGCAAAACGATCAGCTGATCAACGCTTGATGCTGCTTTAAAGTAACGGTAGCTTCTAGCGAGATGGCTTTCTGATTGGTTGGAGCAGGGAGGGGAAACGTGCCAAGGACAGCTGTTTCGGACAAGAACCGTTATTTAAGTACATTAAAAATTACCACCTGCAACCTGCTATGCGTTATGTTGCCCTGGTGTCTCAAATCGATTTGGGAAGAAAAATCGACTGATTATGGGACACCAAATACCAGGAAAACAGAAATTCGAAGTAGGTGATTACGCAGCAGCGGCTCTTATGCAGAGGGATGGACGCGGAGGGATTACCCAATCCCACCACACATAAAAAAGTTAGGCATCTTTGAAACAATTACTTATTTATTTAAGGGTTCTTGAAATTATTTAGCAAAAAATATTTATATTGTTTTATCTGTACCATTTTACATATTCTCTGGTTTGCAACTTATTTTCCGATGGTTTCTGCACCGTTCTTACACAATACTCCTCTTGACAGGTGCCGGGACTTCTTATTATCTCACACATAATAAAAATAACATACTTAAGAGTTAATGACAATGCTGCGTGTTACAAGTTAGCGTATCCTGAACCTATACATATAAAACTCGCATATTCCGGACACAATCCAATGATAACAAAATAAAAACGTAACGTAAACTAATGTAGTTAGGCTATAACTAATAACTAAGACATAACTCAAACATATTCGGTACAAACTAGTTGAATTCAATTTCTTGCTTTATTTGACGCTTTAGGCATAAGGCATTAGAGACTAAATAATAAATACGAGTACATCTAGAATTTTTATATAAAACACAAGATTAAAGCTTAGCTCCGGTCGGCGGTGCAGCTCCGGACCTCCGACTTTCTAATTGGTACACTATACTATATATATAGACGTGGCCGGGGAAGAATACCTCCCCCCGGGACCACAAATAGCGGGCATTAAGTTTTCAGTTAAGGACATCGAGTGAGTGAGTGGTTGGTTTGAGCTCAAGGGAGGATAGTATCTGGATTGGATCGAGCAACGTGTACGATATCAGCGAATGCGGTTAGAGTACAATATCATATCGCTAATCATACAAATACATATAGTGTGGTATAGTAATAAGTTGGTTTGTTTGGTTGTATTATGCAAATATCCATACTGTTCAGCTAAATGCTACCCATTACTGATTAGTTTGAAACTGATTTAAACTTGCGTATCCAGGATATACGATCCTGGAACGCCCTAAACTTTGTTTAGCTTTGTGTGTGGCGTGGCCTCGATCCGTGCCGTTTAAAAAATGTACCTTCTCCTCTCTTCTATATAATTTACCCCAAGTTACTGTGACGGCTCCGCTTGCTGTGCTCGACTAATGGTTAGATTACCGATAGATAAGATACTTTATGAGCGCCTCCTACGAGCTAACATACTGCTAAATGCAATTATTTACACAAACATTTCATTTTCAGTTAAGAACGTACGAATTATCATATATATTTTGTGTATCTCCGCCGATTCCGCACGGGTTTCTATATAAGTGAAAACGCCAAGCTATGCTCCCCACTTCTGTTCTGTTCCGACTCCTAGTCTCTCCATTACTTTGTTTTACAAATTGGTTTCTGTTTGGCGCTTTAGAAGCTATCATCGCTGTCGCTGTGCTCCGGCTGCTCCTCGCCCACGATGAGCTCGTCCTGGTCCTCCAGCTCCTCCTCTCCGATGTCCTGGTCCTCGCTCTCGCTCTCGTAAGCCTCTACGGCCGCCTCGGCGATCTGGTCGATCGGCTCCTCGAATGGAAGGGCATGTCATGCCAAGCCGCTGGCGTCGGCGGCGTCCTCCGACCAGCTGACCTCCATGGGCGTGCAGGGCAGCGCCTCCTCGATGGACATGCGGGAGGGCGGTTGCTTGGGCCGCTTTGACAGCGATCCCCCGGAGGCGTCGCTCGAGGCGGAGGCGGAGCTGCGCATCATGTCCTCGGAGGAGGCCGAGCAGCTCTCGTCCTCGGAGTTCGCCCCGGAGACCATGGCCTCGCCGGCCGACTCCTGGATCTCCTGGAACTTCTTCGCCTCGCTGGCCATCAGCTTCATGGTGGAGCTGCGCGGCCGCATCTCGGCAGCAGCCGAGTGGTGCGGCGAGCTGGAGCACAGGGGCGCCGTGTCCTCGTGCCAGTTGGTCAGGTTCAGCTGCTCCTCCTGCTCCTGCTGCTGCTGCCGCTGCCGCCGAGCCGAGGACTCGCACACGGCCGAGCTGGAGGCCGAGGCCTTGATGCACACGGAGTGGGAGCGCGCCCGGGAAAGAGGACGACCCTCGGGCTCCCCGGAACTGCTGCTGCTCCGCATCAGCGCCGTGGCCGACATGCTCTGGCTGAGTGGATTGGGATGTGCCTGCGGCGAGGAGGAGGAGGATCCCCATTGGTGGCCAGTCCGTTCGAGTGGCCATTGGTGCTCACAGTCTGTCGTCGCTGGATGGGACAGCGCTCGTTGTAGCTCCGCAGCGAGCCCGCTCGTCGCACGATCTTCGAGGAGTTGCCCTTGAACGAGGACTCGTCGTCGATCTCCAACGTCCAGCTGACGGAGTCGTTCCGCTCGATCATGCCCTTCATCACGGGCGAGGTGGGCGAGGACGTGGTCACGGCGATCTCCAGGCCATTGCGGCCCACGCTGCAGCGGCTGTGCGAGGCGTTGGAGAGGCTGCTGCTGGCGTCGTGGGATCCCATGGAGAGGTCGTGCAGCTTGGACTCCGCCGCCTGGAGCTGCGCGGAGCGCTGCTTGAGGTGGTACTGCAGCTCCTCCTTGTCGTAGGAGAGCCGCGTGCGCTTCATGCTCTCGTGCTTGTAGGCCTTCTGGAGTTCCTCCATCTTCTGTTGGATGTCCCTGGAGAGAAGAGGTAACAATTAGTTGGAGTTTCTCTAGGGGATTCAGTTCAGTGGTTCAGCTATATATATATAATCTACTTACTTCTCCTTCTCGGTCTTGGCTTCCAGTTCGGTGCGCAGCATCTCGTTCTGGGCCTCCAGGAGGGCCACCCGGCTGCTCAGCTTCAGCCGCTCCTCGCTCTCCCTGATCAGATCCGACTTGGCCTTGGTCAGAGAGGAGATCTCCGCCTGCTTGAGCTCCAGCACACAGCGCAGGCTGTCCGCCTCGCTGGCCAGGCGACTCAGCTCCGCGGAGGTGGTGTCCGGCAGGCTGGAGCAGGGACTCCTCCGCTGGGAGGAGGTGCGCAGCACGGAGATCTCGTCCTGGGAGAGCGCCAGGCGGTCCCGCAAATCGCGCTCGCTGTGCTCCTTGCTGGCCTTCAACGTGTTTAGCTCCTTGGTGAGGCTCTTCACCCGCTCGCTGAGCTCCTGCTCCTTCTGGCTGGCCTCCGCGAGTCGGGCGGCGTGGGTGTTCTCCTTGCGGACGAGCTTCTCGCGGTTCTCCTGCTCCTGGGCCTCCAGCTTCTGCAGGCGCGTCTGCAGCTCGAGGACCTTCTGCTCGGCGGCGCTGAGGTACTCCTGCTTCAGGCTGAGCTTGTGCGAGACCTCCGAGTGGTAGGCCTCCTGCGCCTGCTTGTTCTCCTCGTCCTTGGCGCGCAGCTGTGCCTCCAGTTCGCAGAACCTCTGCTTGGCAAGCAGCTGCACCTCCATCAGCTTCTCCTCAGCTGGAAGATATAAATAGGGTATATCTGTTAGATATTTTATCTAATTTAAGGGGTATTAATACCACCCACCTTGCTTCAGTTCGGTGCGGTGCAGGTGGTCCCGCTCCTGCTGCCGCTGCGACCACTCCACATCCTTGCCGTGCAGCTCCTCGCGCAGCTGCTCGCAGTCCACTTGCGTCTGCTGCAGCAGGACGATCGTCTCCTCCAGGGTGCCCTTGGTGCGGGCGCACTGCTCTTTGGTCTCCTTGCAGGCGAAGGCATCCAGCTGAAATCCAAGGAGAGGAAACAAACGAACGTTAGAGTCGCTATAAATCCGGCTATAAACTACGGATCAACGGAGCAGGTAGACTATAGCCTCCTCCCTGGGTAATTAAAATGAAATTTTCATCTCGATCTCGAGAGTTTTGCACGGAAGTCGCACAAAGGCAAATTGTCGAGTGGCAATGTCGCGAAAGACAATGTCTCTGAGCCGGGGAAATTCCGCGGGAAAACAATGCTTCGAGAGTTTCGTTCGAGGGTTTCACTCGAGAGGTTCGCATCAGGGTCAAAGGTCGTTGGGTAAATCCCCTACAATGAATCTGAACAACTTTTATGTTTATTTCCTCCGAGAACCACTAGATTTCTTGGGTTTCAAACTTTATATTCAAATAGTTTCTAATACTCCTTCACTATTTATTCACTATTTTTACCTGTTGCTGTTCAAAGCCCTGGGCAAAGTTGAATTTATCCATAAAAGTGGTACTGGTCGGAGTGCTGGGCACCGTCCAACTGATCAGATCGCTGTCCAGGTCCAAATCCATCGTCTGGGCCGAGAGATTCTCGTTGGTGAACACCAGATTCTCAAACATTTTGCTTTCGTTTTGAGCACAGAGTGTTGTGGGTGTTGAACACGAATACTTGAAGTAGACTGATGGCCACTTTTGGCCCGACATCTGCTTTTATAGCCAGAGGCCAGCAGGTAGGGAACCATCAGGATCAGGGAAGTGAACAGCGGCGGAGGACTTCCGCAGGTAGAGAAGGATCAAAGGATATGGCCAGCAAAATATTTACGAGGGATTTCGGACGGACCGAGTAAAAATGCGACTCTAAAACATGCTGGGAAAGGGAAAAGGGTGAGGATGAGGGGTCTGCTGTCTCTCTGGAGGAGGAGGAGGAGGCGAAAAAACAGGACCATGCAATGTGGGTGTGGCCCTTTGGTGGGCCACGCCCCGGCTGACTGGCCAAAGGATTCCGATTCCGGGCGGATCCACCCGGCGGCTTAGCGATCGCTGGCCAACTTCGTGTGGTTTGGGCTCAACCCTTTCCGAAATTAAAATATTTGGTCACGCGTCCGCCAGCTGAAGGTGCAGCATATAGTTTCCCATATTTTCCCGTTTTTGGGGCGGCCTGAAGGCACTTCAATTCCGCCGTAATGGCGCGCACCTTCTCTGCATCACTTCGGGAGGATGCGTGTCGAAGTGCCAAAGCGCCTCACAGGATCTCAAGGTGGATTTAGGCGATGCCTTCAAAGTGGCTGTCACGAATTCAATTTGATTTGGGTGGAGAGTACTACTTGTATTGCCAAATTAGCATAAACCAATTTCTTACGCTTTTGAAAACTACTCGTAGACATATAATTTTGATTATTTCAGAGCACAAGTAAAAAGTTATATAAAGTGAAACTTTATCCATTTTGTACAAAATGATTGCGAAGATCACACACAAAATTTTGTTAATAAAAAACGGGATTGTATACAAAAGTTTAAAAGTAAAATCAAAGTAAATTTGATTGGGAATCTATAAACAGGAATTGGAATTGCAAAGTTCCCTAAATTAATTTTTAAAATCCCAATTTAAGTGCAGGGGTTAATGATTTCTAAATCTTCATTAACTAGTTTTAAATTTTGCCAACAGCCGCCAGTTGCCCGACCAAATCTGATCCCCAAATTAAGAGCTGCCGACCAACCGCTGAATGCTGATTGCCAATTGCCTTATCCACGCCTAACGTCTCCTGTTCCGAAAATTAATAGCCATCATGTCGCTGTCTGGGTGAAATCTCTGTCTCAGTCGAAGTCTACGTCTCAGTCTTCGTCATCAGTCTCCGCTTGCGTCTCCCAGTGACAATCTCAATGTCTCAATGGCTGACATATTCGGGTGACAGTCAAAGTGGGCACTGGTCATCCATCCAGTCGAAGACAGCGCAATTACCTGACAAGGACGCTCGTAATTAAAGTGTTGAAATTAGTGACTCGCCGCCGTGAAACTTCGACTGGAGAAATGGATTTAATCCTTTGGCCGGCAATCGTTGCACACTCTGTAGTTTATAAATTCAAGGCAGCGGCAATTGTCCTTCGCATTTAATAGAGCGCTGTAAAACGGACTCATAAAAATGGACACGAGCCTGTTGGTCCTTTTTCGAAAGGTGTCCTTGCTGCTACCTTGCCGGTTGCTCTTCCTTGGTTTTCACACCAAATTGTGAAATCTCGCTGGATCACATTTAAATAAATATTGGTGTTGCAACATCAGTTTAGGCTTTTAGTGGGAAAACATTGCGCGATTGCCGCGTTCCCCGAAATTTCCACCCGGCCAAACACAAATCCTGCGCATGTTTTCCTTTGCGGACTAACTGGTAGTCGCGTCCAGCAAGTTAGCCAAATATTGTGGTGTGTTCTCCCGTAATTCCCCCTAATAACACTGGGCTTGTTTTTTCGAAACGTGTCTTAAACAAATACGGGTATTGCAGTAGTAATTGAAGTATGCAAACAACATTCCAATGTGTGGAAGCGCCAATAGTTCTAGGGAAAGGTTTTAAGCAATTTATTCTGTAACACTCGAAGGGTTTTGGTTTTAAATTGGTAAAGAGAACTAATCAAATGTGAAGAAAAACTTGGAATAGTTTTAAGATTGAAGGAATATATGTATAATCTTTCAGAACTTGTGTACAGTTTGATCCCATTTTAAGTAAATCCCCAGCTGCTGAAATCAACGATTTGAGTTCATTCCTTCCCGCTTTGCAACTTCCTGCAAATTCCCCCAGCTCAAAGTGCAGAAATTCCGACAACAGCTTAAGGGATTCTGGAATTTTTCTCCACATTAATGACTTTCCTTTCAAAAAAAAAAAGGAGGAAAGAAAGGAATCGCTTGCAAATGGCCAACGCAAATGACATCAATACAATGGCACCAGCTGATGGCACAGGAATTATCTTTTCATTCGAGTTTGGCATTGTGTCACTTTCAGCATTCAGCTTGCATAAGACCGGCTAAAATCAGTTGGTTTTCCAGCAGCAATTGTTTCCATTATCCTCACAGAGGGTTCGGCATGTGTTGCCCCGAAGAGAAGACAATGGATTTACGCAATTGTCAACATTTTTGCCAACAATCCAACTGAGGATTGGGGAAATGCTCAAACGAAATGTTTTTCCGACAAGTTCAGACAAATCAGAGTTCGCAAATTCTACCTAAGCCATTGCGGTTGAAAAGTCAGCAGACAAGATCATCATAAATCGATTTATGACGCACCTTGATGATGTCTGGAAGGGTCCTATACCATTTACCATCCACCACTATATAGTACCATATGCAAATGCTAAATTAATGTTCTTCGCGGATGTTTGTCGCGGATTTTTATTGCCTTGTTATTGTTATTTATGGTAAGTGAGGGTTGCCCGTTCATAGCAGGTAACATTTGACTAACAAAAAAGAAAGCCAGACTATTCACCATTTTCGCATCCTTTGGCATCCTTTTTAGGCGAAAAATCTCGACAAAACTCACACGTGCACCCGCGAATGTTCGTTTTGTTCCATCAGAATCCTTTACACCGAAAATGGCAAACAATTAATTGAATAGCTGTTCCGCAGAGCAACTTGAATGTGCCATCGCCTCACACCCTTTCACTTTATGCCGGAGAAAGGCTTTCCCACAAAGCCAGTGGAAAACCAAAGGAAGGTGAGGGAGGTGAGGGGTTCAGGGTTCATCGAGAGGTCTGCGGATTTCGCCAACTTTTGTTCGGAATTTTCGGTATAGTTTTTAATTAGTGCAAACACAAAAAGTGCACCCGGATCCCTAGATCAGTTTTCATGGGCTCGGCTTAGCCGGCACTGACACAATTAAACAAAATTAGCTCAACTTTAAGCATAGATTAAGGCAAATTTCTCAAACAATGCCGGCTGCATTCTGAGCATTGCTCGCATGTGAAACAATTCGGGAATTATTAGAGCAGGTGAGCCCGATCCGAAGCACGGAAATCACAAAAGGGCAGGGAAATGCATATATTTTCTGGCATGTTCGATGTGCCTTCTGGAAAGGGCTGTCGGGTCTGCAAATCCCTGGCGCCTGTCTTCCCGGCAAATCCCTCTCTGATCCCCGCTACACTCGCTACTCGTTACCATACTCGATCCTCACTCGTTACTCGTTGCTTTGGCACTCACCTCTTGGGACATGAACTGCACCATGACGGCGAGTCCCAGGATCTGACGGTGCTCCTCCTTGCGCGCGAACTGGTTGTCCTGGAAGAACTTCGCCAGGCGGGCAAAGTCCAGCACTCCGTTGTTCGTGTACGGCTTCAGGGCGGGATACTGGGCGGCTATGTCCGAGGGGGGCGTGGCCAGCATTGTCAACGAGCTGACCGATCTGCCAACTTCATCGGTCTGGAAAATAAAAGAAAGTATAGGAAGTAAGTAAGAAAGTATTGTAAAGTATCAAATATTTAACAGAAAAATGTTTGTTTTAGTTATAAGTCACAATTAGATATTTCGGAGATTTAATGTTTTTGGAGTTTTGCATTTTAAATAGCGAAATAATTAATAGCGATCGCGGCAAGAGTTCAAATCGAAGTGTTCGAGCTGTTTAACAACAACGCCTCTCCTTCCCCGAAATCATCCTTTTCCCTTCTCTTGCGCAACCGAGCGCAACGAGCTCTTTGGATTCTAGGAATGTGTCACTTTTCAAGAATTATAAAATCAACTTCTATGCCCGCCAAATAAGACAACGGCTCCTAGAGTTCAAATAGTTCCAAGAACTGCGACAGATAGAATAGTTACCTCATTTACACTGCTGAAAGCAACTGCTGGGCTTTGGCCATTGATCACTGGATCCTGCGGTTTAGTCAGCGGCAGCGTGGATGCCACTGCCTGGGCTCCTTGAGGATCGCAACTCTTGGTTTGCTGGGGGATAATACCGCTCTGGTCCTCGCACCGCTTCAACTTGGCCTCCGTTTCGCAGGGCAACTCGCTGCCGATGGACGAGCGTTTCGAGTCACGCGCCATCGGCGGAGTTGGACTCCCACCGGCGGATTGAACATTATTCAGCTCCTGGAGCTCAGTTTGATCCACGCCAGAGCGCAGGGATTCTGCAAGAATAAATGAATAAAGTAATCCATAAGAATAGTAATAAAAGATCTTGATTAAGTGGTAAAGTAAATGCAATCAAAAAGAAATTGTTGTGTACAAATAGCAACCGCGCAATCGAAAGTGCTATTTATTATCGAATTGTTGCCCCAAGAAAGAGCAAATCCCTTCGATTGCGCAACCCTCGACCGGCGAAAGTCATCGCTCATCAACTGGCAGACGAAGATCTAGCCGTCTTTGCAGATGAGCTAACGATGATGAGCTAACCGTGATTCACCCAGCTGCGGATCCACTCTTCTCCCGGGCAAAAAGCTACAAACTACATGAGTAATTGCTTCGTGCCCCAAAGAAGATGTAGTCAAGAAACGACAGAAACCGCAAGAGCAGTAAATTTTCCTTTTGCATAATTCCATTGACAAAAGGGAAAGCAGCAGCACACGAGACATACATACATATCTATATTTATATATACATAGGTGTTAGTTGGGCCACGCCTCCGTCACCAGATAATAACAACTCGGCGGGCCATCATCATCAATTACGAATTACCAGATCGCCAACTTCAGGGGGCCGTCAATTAGAGAGGATGCGTGGACAATTTGCCATTTCTTGGCCAGTGAATTGGCCTTGACAAGCCTACATTTCTGTGATTTTTGGGGAGGGGTGAAGCGGGAAACGGGATTCGGGGGAGTTCAGTAACCGCCTTGATCGATCCATCGATCAGTTGGCCGCGAGTTAGTCCATAACTCAGCCCGATTTCCTTACCAGACACGCGCCAACTGTCCGATTCCAAATCGAAGCTGTGGCTGTATCTGTGGCTGTGGCTTATGGCCAAGCCCAAAGTCTGGCTCAAACACATACATATACTACATATATCCGATCCGATGTGTGTCCATAATCAACGGCTGGCGACTTATGTTACCGCATAAATTTATAGCCAGAGCCGCGCATACAAAGTTGTCAATGTTTGCACAAGTTTGCCATACGGATCACAATTGCTCGCGGCGAAAGCAACGGGCGAATTTGTAAGTCGTAAGTAAGGAGTCGCCTTCCGGAGTTGTCACCAAGATCATTACCCCGGGATGTTTCTATCGAAAGTGAATTATCTCCTCATGGAGAGGGAACTTGGGTGCGAGAGGAACAAGACAGCCAGCGGATTTTAATGATATAATATCAGAAAATCATGTGAGGAGAAGAAGCAACTAGATAATATGCATTCCTAACAAAAATAAATGAAATTTCTCCCCTCCTCACTCAATAAAATAAATGAAAACCTGCTATTGCATTGCAGTAAACTAATCAATGCTGTAAAGTAACGAACAAATTAGTCGAAGACAGCCGTTGCAAAGTGGCTAAAATGTTGGCGCTCGATTTCAGCCGCTCTAAGCGATTGCGATTGTGAAATGTTTACAAATACGAATGAATCGACTGAATCCACTGAAACTGTAAAGCAAACGAAACCAGATTCGCCTGATGATTTGGTGTTTAACAAATCAAAGCATAAATTATTGTACCGCTTGTGGCTTTTAGCATTTTGAAAGACATTTTTTTGATTAATGCGGCTAAAGGTGAACATTGCAGAGCAAATATGTTTCTTTTGGCTGGGAAAATAGTTTGCCGAGCAGTCACTTCGTTGGGTTTTCACACTGCTCTGTGTTCCCAGAAAATATTTAATTATTATTAATGGCAGACCTTCGAGAGCACCTGATTCCCTCCTCATCCTCATCCTCTTCCTCACCTGGGAAACATTTCAATGACACACGAGTCAAGCGAGTCTGGCACACGACTTTCGCGGGGACATTTCTCATGGCAATTAGGCAATTAAGCGACATTAGCTACGACCAATTAATTGCAAGGCCAAGAAAATTGGCCAATTCCCGGTCCTGTCGCGGATTTTCCCCCGATTGTGAGCAGAAAATTCTCACGGCCCTGTTCCCTGTTCCTCGGGAATCGCAACAAGTTGCCGACAGATCACAGTTCTCCCAGGAGGAAGGACCCCTTAAGGCGATGGGTCGATTTTATGGCTGAGAAACCGACCACCTCAGTAGTTATACGACCTTTTCCGATCCCATTTCCCATTTCCCGGCCCAGGCTGCACTTTGATTTTTACAGACCTCGGAAAAACTCAGCAGCGGGTGATTTCATTCAGAAATTCTCGTCCTGCGAGGTTTTTTCTCGTGCTGGTGTGAAAACTGTCTTCGTGGGCACGTGGAATTTCCCAAACAACGCTGGCAGTTTTGGTTTTCTGAGCGATTGTTACTTTAATTTAAATGGGTTTTGAATGAGAATTGTATTTTCATTACCAACCAATTGCATTTGTATCTTAGAAATCAAGAAGAGCTGCATATTTCAAAACTTTCTTTTAAACAATTTCTCTATGTTTTTTACTACTACTGCTAGGTATTTTCAACAATAGTTATTACTTAAAAAATGTTAATTTCAAACAACCAAATTACACACACTTTGTGCGAAACGCAAAAGAAAGTGTTGGGGATTTTCGCTGGCAGCATCCACATTGCCATCCGTTTCCATCCACCTGGTGGATGGTGGAAATCTCTCCCCCATTCAAGATCAATCAACATCAGCACGGAGATTTGGTGTTGGTTTTGGTGCTGGTGTCGCTGTCCAGGGTTCGCAGTCGGTCAGCCGAGCTCATAATGACGGTTTGGGTTGGGATTTCAGTTTCAGTTTGGGTTTGAGTTTGAGTTTGTTGAGTTGGCTAAAACCCGACATGTGTCGAGGTAAACGCTGTGCACAGTGGGCACTCTGTGACACTGAACGGACAGTGGGACGAACGGACAGACAAACGGAGCTGCACTGGGCGATGGAAAATAATTGAAATTCCGAAATATCTTATTTGGCATTAGGCAGCTGTGTTGCTCTTGCCTTTTTCGCGGATTTTTGAAAACTCAACGCAGCGCAGGCAGCGGCAACCTGTCTTAACCCATGGCGACCCACAAAAACATGTCCAATGAAAATGCGCGTAATTAAAACGAACAACAGCCACTCGAAACTGGCAAACTGGCATTTCAATTAGCTGCGTTTAGGAGAGGCGAAAAAAACAACCAAAATCACTTCAGTCGCCTCGCCTCGACTGGAAAATAAAGCGCTGTGTATCTGCAGCTTTGTATCTGTTTTATTTCGCTTTGGACACCGAGTTTTCAGATGGCGAGGAAAGGGTTAGACATTGCTTTAATTGCAATTTAACAACAAATTGTTTTAGCAACGAGCCAGAAGCACTTTCGGTGGGCGAGAGTCAAGTGCCTCGCAGCGAATCTGTGCGAATTACTCGACATATTTGAGCAGAATATGTTATGAAAAACATCTCAAGTATGCACGCGATTCGCATATGAAAATGTATGAAAAATTCCAAGGACTTAAAGAGCCAAAAGCTTTTAGTGGACAACTATGATACTTTTTAATGGATAAAAAATAACTAAAATAAATAAATTTTAACTGGTTTCATCAGATAATAATTTTAGTGGACAACTATGATACTTTTTAATGGATAAAAAGTTACTAAAATGAATTAATTTTATTTGGCTCTATCAGAATATATTGTGAATTACTGGTAATAAGCCTTTGTATTTGTAATTTATCACTATTATTTATGTGATCCAACAAGCCGGAAAAGCCATCGGCAGACTTCCTCTAATATAAAACAGAGAACAACAGATGAGCACGCCATTCGATTCGTTTTCCACCGACCCTTAATGACACAAATTGTAAACATTATTTGCACTAAATTATGCTTTGTGCCATCCAATTTGTTTGGTTAAAAAATAGGACCAGCAGCTGGGTCGTTATAAACAAGTCCCAGTAAACAGTGGATAAGAACTCGGCGGGCGGAAGAACTTTTTAGGCCTCATGTGCCTCTATATGTACGCAGAAAATATAGACCGATTTCTGCGGAATGTCAATCAGGGAATCAGAAAATCAGGGAAAGACTAAAGGCAGGAGTACTATATTCTGCCTCCGTGATGAACAGATCGCTTCAAACTGCCCGCGATGTCGGCGGTGATGAAAGACATATATCAAGGGATTTATGGCACATCAGGGCAGAGATTTTAATTTCACCCTTTACACCCATTAAACTTATTTTTTGTTTTAATTCTCATTTGTATTTCTTCATGCGTCTCGGCAAACGCACATTTCAAGGTCGCAGAGTCGTCGCTTGGCGCATTTCCATTTATTTTCCTATCTTTTTCAGCGGCTAAATAAGCCTTTAAAACACTTTTCGTTTTTGTTCGCTCAAGTTCTAATGATTATTTTTAGATACGAAAGCATTTGCCGTTCTATCTTTGCCAGCCCAAAAACACAACAAAGAGAGAATAATAAATGAAAATAATGCAACATAACCAAATTGTCTAATTAATTGTTACATGAATGATAGAGACGAGTGTGTGTGTGTGTGTGTGTGTTTAATTTCCTATGCTTACTGTACGTATTTGATCGAATTATATATGCTTTTGATATTGCTTTGTGGTCAGCATACGAATGAAAATAATAACAAAGTCCCACGATAGAAAGACCGCAGGAAAAAGCTTCATGACTCGAAAGCCAAATGGAAATTGGTGTAGATATTGGTTTAGAATGATAAGTACCCTTTGAATAAATGATTCATTAATTGAATAATAAAAGAAAATGCAAACGTAAGTTTACCTTATTCATAAAATATTTTACAGAATACTAAAATTAAATGTTTTTCATTTATAAATTGAATTACTTTTTGTATAATTTTATTAAATATTTTTGTTGACTAGGGTACAGCGGAATTTGCATGCCAAATTCATGTTTGTATTGTGGGCAGCTCTTGGCCAGCCAACAAAATATGCTCTCCGATTTGCTTTTAATATTTTGTTGGCCTTTTATTTATTTTGCACAACATTTTGTTGATATACGAGCACTGGGCACTGGGTGCTTTAAAAGTTTGATGAGTGAGACCAGCGGAAATTGCGACGCAACTTTGAAAATATCAAAAAGCCCGAAATTGGGTTTTTAA